CCTGGGTAGGCAACTTACTAGGTTTTGAGACACAGACCTAGTATCTAAGCATGATACAAGTGTCATTATATTTCCTTGACAAACTGCTATTAGTTGTTGCAGAGGTTTAAGAATACGAAAAACTGAAAGAAGACGCTGCTAATCTGACATACACACACACTAAGCTAAATAAAACAACAGCTTTTTAAGCAGTTATTGCAAAACTCTCATCACTGACACTTTACTAAACTGAGCAAAATGTGACGTAAACACGCACAAAAGTTGTAGGTGTGTTTAATTACACGTTAAACCTACGCTGAATGTGATGGTGAGGTGTTTAAAGGTGAGGTGTTTAGCCGTTAGCTTCTCTTGGTCTCGCGCACAATAAAATCTCGCGCGGACACACGAGCTCGTGCAGAGCGCGTTCCCGCTCAGGAAAGAGCGCAGCGAGCGCGCGGCCTGCAGAGGTTTTCAAAAAAGGGTCGAAAGCAGGGAGTGCTAGGAGGTCATTGTTTAGAGAAAAACTGTAGGCCTATGTAAAATAAATAAATAAATAATGCCTTAAATAATATGTGTAACAGTACAGTTCTAACATGAATAGGAAACAAATGTAATAATGAAACTTCTTTTTTTCCAAATAATGTTTTTACATATAGACTAATATAATTTTTTCACAATATAAATTGGGTCTTTATACAAGAAACTGTTTAGATGGCCTTTAAGTTTCAGGGTAAGGGTCCCTTGCATGAGGATAATCATATCTGGGTGTACGAAACATCTAAAAGATTGAAAATCCCTGAGCATTATTGTATTGAACCTGTACCTGCGCAAGGAACTAAAATTAACTCTGCATAAACAGTTCAACAATAGCTATTAACACACACACTGACTACAACTTAAAATCATACATTTAGGCTTTCAGTTCAAATTTGCCAGAGCAAATAAAATATGTTTTGGTAAAAATTTAGCCCCAGACTAGTGTATATGCCAGAAAATAGATAGAATTTTTTGTTGGTGGTGGATCCAATCTGAACCTAATACATTCAAGAAGAGTTAGGCCATGCTATACCCGAGCCTGACCAAAGGGTGGCGCTGAAAACCACATTTACATCAACATCTCACCAAGAGTTAATAATGTGATCCTGCCTTCTTATACTGTCAATGGATCCTGCTTATGCATGTTTTAAACAGCAAAAACCACACATCTTATGAAACGCATTTTTAGTTTTTTGTAATTTCTCATGCATGTCCTCATTATACTTCCATGGTAGGCCTACATGATAAAAATATATGACATTTTTCATATTTATCATACCATGACCACTTTGCATTTTCACATTTAACCCCTTTTCCTTGTTTCTTACACCTGAGTCAGTCATCTGTTCCAAACAGTAAATTAACACATCATCTCTGGGGGCCATTCATCACCTGAGGGCCTTTACTTTGACAGAATAATGAACTGAGAAGACCTGAAAAATTCCACAGGTTTTGAAGTCTCATGCTTGTTGCTGGCCAGGAATGTGATCGTGAATGTCTTCTTATTTCCTTTCACAAAACGACAACTTGGTAGCAAGTTTCATTCGTCACAACAGAGCAAACAAAGTCAATTTCATTTAGCTTTATTCAGATTTACCAAAGGCAGACACTTTTAACAATGGCAATTGTCTCAGGGCATATAGCATTTAAACAGTCAGAAAGCTAAAAATTAACAGTGGCAAGAAAAAATGAAGAAGAGACCTTGAGAGGAATCAGCACTCAAAGAAAGGTCTTTCTTTGTTCTGCCCTTTCGCTGATAATAAAATAATAAGGTTTTCGAGGTCAACTTCAATAAGGAGAGCTGTCTCATAAGTGCTGCAGAATACAGATTTTGATAAATATTATAATTGTTTATTTTTAAATATGCCTTTAACTACGGGTACTCTCCACTTTTTACATTCTGAGGATTTCCCCTCAAAATTAGCACAGAAAATGCAAAAATGTCTGGGCCTATAGGCATGAGCTGAGACATGCAGACATGTACAGGGCAAACTGTTTGGAGTCTTGACCAGTTGTAAAGTTTGTCATGTGATAGGACGACTGTCCATAACGAATTTAACAAATGCCAGGTATTAACCCTGCAGGTAAGAAAACTGTAAGCTAACTGGGGTTTTTTTCAATTAACACATGTTTTTAGTAGTTTTAGTTTTAGTTTACAATTATAACCTGACTTGCCTTGACTAGAGTATGAGGAATATGGTGCATATAACTTGGAAATCCTTTCATAGGAATTTCCATAGAATCTTGAAGACTGCACAAATGAATGTGTTTCCTCATGCCTGAAGAATTAATGAGCTGTACAAACACAGAGCACTACAAACATTCTTCATGCTTAAGATATAATTATGAATATAAAATGACAACATACAGCAAATATGGTGCATGAAGCACTTTTGCAGTTTTACAATTTAAGGTCTATTATATTTTTGGAAAATGTCCAGTGTTTTTTATGCTTTGGCTCAATTACAACAACAGTTTCATTCCAGATAAATGACGTGATGGTATTTTAGGTTTAGCGTCATTTTGAGTTTCTATTGGAACAGGAATACCAGGATATACTTATTTCAACCACAACTCTTGGAATAGTTTTAGCATGTTATTAAATGTGGTAAGGTTAATGTATTTGGTCTTGGCGGACTAGATCTGCTACGCTGCTGCTGCAGAGCAAGTATTTGCTACTGCTAATAGATACACAGAGCATGCAAGATATGCTGCTGCTGCATACATAGACAGAAATAATTCCTGTAGCAGATCTAGGCAGGTGGAGCTGGGGGAGGTGGAGGATTTCAGAGGAACTCTGATGATGCGCTGCAGGACTAGCTTACAACAAACAATAAACCAGACTATTTAAATGTTGAGCAAGCAATCTCATTGGCTGCATGATAACCAGAGGCCAATCATCTTGTGCCATGCAGTAATCATTTCCAAGTAAAGGATGTCAACCTTGAACACTCTCGAGTTTGACTGAACTAGATATGAATAAGCTGGCTGAAAACCAACTCAGAGCTGAATGACCAGTTCAGTCAAGAATCAGATTCCTGATGTATATTACAACAGTTACAAAAATACCACATCTAACTCAGAAAAAAACACAATATAAAGCTGGTTTATTATATTTATTTAAAAAAAGAAGTGTAAAAGTACACATAATGGTAAAATAACATTTACAAAAACCTTAGAACAGTAAAGCTGATAATAATTAAAATGATTGAATGGAAGAAATCAACAAATCACATATGTATATGAAAATATATAAATACATACATACAGACACGCATATCTTTTATCATTGCAGGCAGAAATGGCGATGCAGTGCTTTGCCTTTGAGTAAACTATCTGCCAGCATCCTGCCTGACCTGTATTGCAGAAAATGAAACCAATACTATGAATCTAATGTAAAGTAAGTAAATGTCTGTTTCCAGTACTTATGAGCACTAGAGCAGAGACTAATGATCTAACTGCAAAAACATGAAAACAGTTCCAAGGTAGTCTTATTTGAACTTGCACATTCACGCAAACACGCAATAATTTTTCCGGCAGTCCAACTCTAAAGGAATCAGATGTAATCTACAGCTATGAGCATTTTTCACCAAACACAACATAAAATACCAGATAACATTAAAAACATAACAAAAGAGCAAAATGTATTTACACTGAGATATATTACTAACACTAGTACATACAAGTGCATGATTGGGGCTCTGCTTAAAAATAAAAAAAGATCAGAAAGGCACGTCCTGGTTGTCACAAAGATGATGAGATGCTTAAATACAGATATGATACAAAGAAGAAAAAAAAATACAATAATTCACAGCTGTACGGTTCATCAAGAACCTAAAAGAACCAGACGTGACATTTCATTGACCTAAATCAGAGCTGTCCATCACTGAGCTCCTGCTATGAGCCTTAGGTTTTCAAGTGCTTAGAACACAAAAACCTCCTTATGAAAACCTCTTACAGCATGTTTGATGTATTATTTAAGTGCTTTCTTTTATTAAATAAGCTCAGAGGTTTAATATGATGTAGAAAGAGTAAATAGCGCGTTTCGGTCTGCAGACTACTTCTCCATGTCAAGAAATCGTTGTCAAAATTTAGGAGTAATGATAGAAAACAACAGTAATAATAACAGAAATAAAAAGGTTTAAGGCATAAACAAATGTACATTTACAAATAAAAAAGAAAGAAAAAAATGGCAGCATCACAGCATCTAAGCGATTACTCCATCAGATTTGACACATTCTCTGAATCTGTGTTATTTTAGTTATCAATATTTAGCTTTTATTTTTATATTTTTAAATGTTCATGTTAATTTTAGTTTAATGTTTAGTAATTTCATTATGAGCTTTTGTCATTTTGTTACTTTTTTTATGTTGCTATTCAGGTTTAATCGTTTTATTATTTTAGTTTTAGTTTCAACTAATATTTACATTTTATTTTATTTCAGATTTATTTCAATGGACCATTTTCACAGACTGTGATGATGATGAGTTTCCACAGTAATCAACATCACAAATCTAGTAAAGTTGTTCATATTTTCTTTTTTTTTCTTAAATGTATAATGCTATAATTTATGTGTTTTACATTACATCGGCAGTAAATAAAAAACGAATCAACACTTTTGCAAGGGTGTTTATAATACAACGGCTAAGAAATGAACGGCAAATTTGACATCTTTCTCTCTTCTGACTGCTGTAATCAGACTCTCTATATTTTTTCCCTCTTTTGGAAAGTCGTGGAAGCGCCATCACGGATTTTTTATTTTGTTATTGGAGCAAACAGGAATACATAAATTATATTTCCTGTCATCTCCCCTTCACCACTTTGATGACTTCCACGTCTGAGAACTGAGAAATGTGAGAAGTGTCCATTAACAGAAATATTTTTCATAGTTTTCATTTACTATCTAAATGCATTTCAGCTATGAGGAAGGTTATGCATAACATCCGTCTTCCAGAGAAACGAATGCAGGAAACTCTGCCAAACAGCTTTGGCATGATGAAAAGAGCACATCTGGTTATGCATGTTCAGACGAGGCCATGTTCGGGAGTTCGCATGTGCGTTAGTGGATGCTATCAGGCTTTGCGTTGTTTCTCACTGAAACGGTGTATGGTAACACAGCCATGGTAGGAGATAGGACGAGGCATAGCAGCCGTGGATGTGATGATGCCAGAGGCCGGGTCATAGCACACAATGTTGTCAGATGCGTCCCCATGTTCTCCCCGTCCACCCAGGATGTAGATCTTTCCGTTACAAATTGATATCCCGCAACTCTCCTAAACACACACAGACATACAATAATAAAATCAGTATATGGGACAAAATGACAGGAACGTTTGACTTTTTGGTTTATTAGCAGCTGTGCTTCAGGTACCTGTCTGCTGAAGGAGTGGCCCACATGCATCCAGTGGTCCTGTGAAGGATCGTAGCAGTAGATGGACTTGGTGAGGCCCCCGCACACGTAGATGACGTTATTGAGAGAAACGGCTGAAATATTGGGTTTGGTGAAGGGAATACACGCCCTCAACTGCCAGCTGTCTGTCTCTGGGTCATAACACTGGACCTGAAACACATATTTGTGTAGAAAGAACAGAAAAAGTGTGTGTTATAAAAGGATTCAAATTCTAAACTATATAAAGTACTTCATTTAATAGTGTTATTATAATATTATTTATATACAATAGTAATCTTTTGTGACGTTATCATGTCATTATGTCATTATTATTATTAGTTTTAAGTTATTCTTTTATGTTTATGAAGATGTCATTTTTTAAATTTCAGTTTTATTCACTTATTACAGTTAACTAGGCAACTTTTTTTTTCTACAGTAATATTTATATTTCAACTATTTCAATTAATTATTGTCAATGAATCAAATAAATATAGTTATTTAAACTCCAGAAGAACTAAATCCAAACTCCAGAAGAACTAAATCCAAAATAAAAAAATAATTATATATATATATATACACACACACACACACTCATACATGGTATACATAAACACACATGCATTTTTATATATTCTTGTTCCTGTGTGTAGAAATTAAACTCACACAAAAGTTCCTTTTTTTTTTACATGAATATGCAGGTGTTATAACAGTGATCAACTACCATATTCACAATTTCCTCATTGCCATCAGCGTAATGCCAAATATATTGAGCTGAAACCAGAGAACAGGCCCTGAGGGTGAGGAAACAGAACCAACTAGTATTAAATATATGCATTCTTCAGTGCAAGCAATCTTTCAAGCTGATGTATAGATTTAAAAAAGCATGACAATCTGGATGTCACCGAAGACACGCACTCTGACAGAGAGTAAAGATGTATTGTCGAGCAGACACCATTTGGAAACTCATTTTGTGGAAGAGAGCTTTGTATTAAACTAGATCAGCTCCTTCTCTTTCTGTTCCATATGGCAAGTAAAGAATGCAGTAATCTGAGCACTAGAAAAATCAATGAGAGAAACCTATGTGAGATGTTATCCGAGATGGCACCAGTGTCTGAGGACAATAAGCTCACGACGGAGGTCCACCTGTTCACTCGGTTACAGACCACCTGCACAAACACACACATTCACTCCCCATCTGCCCTGCCATTAGCAGCCCTTCTGTTCAAAAAGATGCCCACACTCGAGGGGTTGCGAGGCACAAAATAAAGGTGAGCTTAGCAGGACCCTTCTCATACCCAAAAGTCTGGGGTTATCACTTTTTGTTTACATTAATGCTCGTTCAGCAAGAGTTATCAAATGTTACAGTAAAAACCATTTATAACAAAACAAAAGATTTCTATACCAACTAAATGCTGTTCTTTTGAACCTTATATTCAAAATAATCCGGAAAAGTTTTCCACAAAAATACTAAGCAACTGTTTTCATCATTGATAATATTAAGAATGTTTCTTGAGCAACAAATCAGCATATTAGAATGATTTCTGAACGATCATGTGACACTGAAGACTGGAGTAATGACACTGAAAATTATTTGTCAGGAATAAATAACATTTTAAAATATATTCAAACCTCTTCCAGAGGTAGTCGAAAACGCATTTTGACCGGACTGCTTTCGTTGCGTCGAATGCGTTCGAACAGCCACAAAAGACCTCCAACTCTCCGCCTACTGACCGAATGCTTAAACATTATGGGAAGCGTGCTAGCCAGACAGTATTTAAACGTTTGTCGGCTCGAGACCCAAGTTTGGCTTGAAGAGGAAAAACGCACCAAGCACAATGTTCTCTCACAATTCCTGATTTCTAACACGCACTCACAGCGTTCGGCGTGGTCTTGCGACTGTCAGAGCAGAAACTAAATCTGATGTTCTCCGTATGTTTTTGCGTCGTCTCTGGGCGCATTCATATTTAAATTGAGGGAGCATAGTTTGTCCATTAGATTGAAAGATCTCAAACAGGTATGTGTCTGCTTCGTCTACTTGTGATCCGATCGTCTAAACGCATCTTAATACCAGGTGTAAACAAGGCGTGCGTTACAGGTTAGTTAAACTCTCTTGCTCTGGTAATGGTCTATTTGCTTCATAAGGCATTGCGTCAAGGAGGAAAAAAACATGACAGTATCATTTAGACGTGACTAATCTTTTCAAGTTGGAATGAGCATGTGGTTTATTCCAGGTAACTTCCTTTGAGGAAAGGAAGGACAAGGCAAAAAAGCAGTTTTTATTTGATGAAAGGCATCATCTATGTCAGTTTTTAATAAACAAATGACACCAATACTTTTTTTTCCCTTTAATGCAGCTAGTCAAGAGCACTCATTGGAAGGGTCTGCCACCACTTAAAAGTCACCTGGCATCAACTGCATTATCCGTGCTTAAGCTGAAGATTAAAGACCAAAGATTTTTGTTTTGGATCAGCTCTGCCTAATTTTATATTGTGTGTTTGTTTAGTGCCGTTTCTCAGTCACCTTATTGGAGCAGCCGTTTTCATCAGGTTGTCCTCCGATGACGAAGAGTTTTCCCGCACAGCTGGTGACCGCCGGAGAGTAGACGGCTTCTTTCATAGGGGCCACCTCGGTCCAGCGGTTGGAGAAGGAGTCATACACCTCCACGTTACTGAGACAACACTGCCCATCATAACCTCCAACTGCATACACCTGCAGGATACATATACAGATATGAAATATATATATATATATATATATATATATATATATATATATATATAGGCCTATATATGGGTGTGTATTCAATTATTTATTTGTCATGTAATCCATCACAGAGATCTTAAATAAATCAACACTATCTTTTCCCTAGCTCATGGCTGATGTTCAAGGACAATATAAAAATGGTCTCTGTAGCCACTCAAAAACAAACACTCCTCATATCCTCTCCACAAACCTCTATATCCTCAAACTGACACCGCAGAGGAAATGTGGAGGAGCCAGGATAACAACATGACGACACCAACCTACATTAAAGCTGTTAAACGGGAAACCTGTTCAACAGATTGCAGTTGCCTTAGGCCTAAATTCATGTGCAAACACACATACAGACAGATGACCTCTGACCTAGGAGAGTAAAGTTCTCTCATTCACGCTCTCTAATGATTTAAACTCTGTCACACCCTGTCCTCAGTGACAAATGGCATTCATACCAATTTGCCTTGGTAAAAATTAATAAATAAATAGGATAAGAATTTGAACCCCACTATCTTTGCACGCTAATAACAAATCATTTTATACAGGAAGGCACAAACAAGATAAGAGAATGATGGATGGATATAAAGGTAGATGGAATGAAATCATGTTAGATGGCTGACTCATTCTTTGAATTGTAGTTGCTATCCTGTAAGTGCAGGTGATCATATTTCAGCAAAACAATAAAGAGGTTCTTCGGAAATTAGGAGAGTCTTTAAAATGACACCACCTGCATACAAGAACCAAAAAAATGCCTCTGCAGTACAAATGTGGGCATAACAACATGTAACAAATAACACTAAATGAAATGCTTGGGATAGTTCACCCAAAAATGTTCCAAACCTGTATGAATTTCTTTCTTCTGCTGAACACAAAAGATGATATTTTGAGGAATATGGGTAACCAAACAGTTGATGGGCCCCATTGACTTCCATAGTATTTTTTTTCCATACTATGGAAGTCAATGGGGCCCATCAACTGTTTGGTTACTGACATTCTTCAAAATATCTTCTTTTCAGCAGTGTTCATCAGAAGAAAGAAATCCATACAGGTTTTGAACAATGTGAGGGTGAGTAAATGATGACAATTTTCATTTTTGGGTGAGCTATCCATTTAAAAGAAAACCTATAGAAAAAAAAATCGAATGGAAGATGGAATGAATTAAATATGTAAGGGATAGTTCACCAGAAAACATAAATTCTGTCACAATTGACTAACTCATGACTAAACTCATTGACTAAATGTCATTCCAAACATGTGTGACTGACTTTTTTCGTGGAGCACAAAGACAGTGGTGTAGAGTTTATACCGGCCCAGTGGGGACAGGGACCCGCAATGTGTCAATGGGGTCACAGTGAGCCTGCTACGTCACTGGCAATCAACAAACTTCTTAGTTGTTCCTCATACAGTTATGACATGGGCCCGACTGACCAGTCAGACTACGCTTTTCAGAAGCGTTCAGCGTTTTAAAACTGAGCGTTCAGACAGAGGGTGAAAACAGGTGTTGCAACAATGTAAATTATAAGAAAAATAACGAGTTTTGAAAAATAATTTATGTATTCTAGTAGACCCCATAAAAAAAATTTGTGAACCTGTTAATGAGCATTACAGAGGTTTTTTTTTAAATTGCGTTCCCCTGAAGAAAAAGTCATACGGGTTTGGAACAACATGAGAGTGAGTACAGGCTCAGATACACTTCAAGCAGAATCGAAACAAGAACTGATGTGACGTCATTTCGAACAATATCAGGCCAAAATGAAGTTCGTTCTGGGAGTTTGAAACAGCTTGCCAAAGCTAACTCTCCGGAAAAGTTTGCTACGGCTGGTAAACACCTTTGTATTACCATTGGTCTGTGGCGATTACGTAATAAGTAGGTGTGCGCTGAGGCTCCACCTTCTTTCACGTCAAAATCTTTTCCAGTTCATTTATCCTGTTCAGTCCGTCGTGGTCAACACACTGGAGAGCTGCTTTATAGTAGAAAATGAAGTTGTACTTCTGATGAAACGAGACACTGACACTGTTTTTCCATGTTTAAATACAGTAAAGCTGCTTGATTGTAAGCAATCTATTGAATAAAGTGCTATATAAATAAATGTGACTTTACTAGAGTGCCGAATTGCAGAGCTTGTGCAAACATATCCACGTTGCTATGATCAGATGCTTTTCTTGTGCTTCACTAAAATGCTTGGCGTTTTCCCAATTTTGTTGTGAGTTTATTTTGTTATTGAAAGGAAAGCGCACAGCACATAATACATATTCATCTAACCGTTGCTCTCAGCAGTGTGGGTGGCGTCAGATGTTCGCTAACAGTACAGTATATCGTTGCTCACTTATTTTGAACTTCGTTTTACCCCTAAGCAAAGAACTACAAGGAACGTTGCCGTGAGTACACCGGGGCCTTAAATATGAACAAAATTTCTATTTTTGGGTGAACTACTTTTTTAAAAAAAAAGGAGGATTTCAAATGAGTTTCCATTTTAAAGCAACTACAAACATCCTGTAAATCATGCAAACGTGCTGTAAACAACCAAAGAGGAGGACAGGCACTGGGCGGACAGATAAACACACATAGAGGAAGAGAGAGAATAACAACTGTTTTCCAAGGAAAACAGATTCTCAAGAGATCTTTATGTGCGTGTCTATGCCTCTCTGGGTGTACGAACAGAAGAAATCTATTACATCCAAGCAGGCAGAATGTTATACCCCCAGCATGTGTAATGAAATGCATATGTCTCAAACATTTACAAACACCCAAAATTGAATACAGTATCAAAAGACCATCAAAACACTTTTCATGAGTAATTACAGAAAGAGGATCTTGATTCTGCATAAGACAAATAAAACATACAATAACGGGACAGCTAATTTCTACATAATTATCAATCAAATGAGGTCAGATTACAACAGCACAATCTGATTAGAGCTGTAAACATCTGATCGTAACATCAGTCCTAAACACGCACTGAAAGCCTGGATATTACAATGCCTAAGTGACAACTGTACACTTTTTTAAAAAAAATCTGCACTGATTAATTTATAATGTAAAGTTTCATGCTGCAAAAACGGTCAAATTGTTTGGTAACACTTTACTTAAAGTTAAATATAAAATAATGCATTAGATTAGTATTTTAATGCATTAATTATGCCTTGCAATGCACCCTTTAATGAATTGTATGGTCTCATGAATAATTGTAACCACAGTTTTAATATACCTATAGAAAGTATAATGCATTATTTAACAAAGAATCTGTGAATATTATAATGCATTTTAACTTTGGTTACAATTATTTATGAAACAATATAACACATTATAACACGTAATGCCTTATACATAAAGGCTTTAAGTAAAGTGTTACCAATTGTTTTTGTCTCGTTTTAAGCATAAACCACACTAAATGCTGTAAAACAAAAAAGAAAAATTTGACAATAGGATACAATTTGTTTTTTAAATATCTTATGCAATTTGTTCCCGTTTAGTTGTTTATTTGTTTGTACTGGAAAATAAAATGATCTTTACTGAAATTGTTCTTTCTGTATGCATAATTGATTTAAATATGGATAATGTGTTGTTATTGGTCTATTCTTCTTTAATGAATGGTTAACACGTTTTACCAAATACACACAAGAGAGGAAACCAACTGCAGCAAGAGATTGTCATTTGTTAATTTTAATTATATGGCACATCAAAGGCTGAAATTGTCCACAAAAACATTTGCTGGAGTCGAAAGTAAGTGGAGCAAACATTAAGTGTATTAAGCTGAAATATTTGAAGATTAGGGAGAAGAAAGATAAGAAGAATTCAGGGGAACTACATTACAGGGCTAATTATGATAAGGAAAATCAAAGGAAGGGTGGGGGGAAAAAAAGATAAATAAATAAATAAAAATGTAACTAAAGCATTATGGAAGTTAAAATTTAATTTCTAAAAAGTAGCCATGTATTTGAACCAATTAAAAAAATGTCCAAGCAACATTGAAATCACAAATATTTTAGTACATTAGATGTGTAACCCGTGCAACACAAAGCAAATCCTGCATAATTTTCTCCAAACAGTTACACTGCTCTAAAGGATGTGTTCCTCTGATTTAGGAAATGGGACACTGGGACTGGAAACACTCACACATATGCACACCACACTCTCTCTCTCTCACCTTCCCCAGTAGGACGGTCATCTTGTGTCTCCAGCGCCCCTTATTAAGAGAGGCCACTCTGATCCAGACGTTGAGCTGGGAGTTATACATCCACACGTAACTGCTGTTGATGCGTCCACCTGTAAATAATAACCAAAACATTACCAAGCAGCAAGAGCAGGCTCTGTGTGTTTGTACACCAACTTAACCTTATTTTGGGGACAAATTTATATCAAAAACTGCATCAGGCAGTTGTGGCCTAATGGTTATAGAGTCTGACTTGTAACCCGAAGAAGGTCACGGGTTTCGAGTCTCAGTACCGGCAGGAAATTAAGGTGGGGGGAGTGAATGAACAGTGCTCTCTTCCCCTCTCATTACCCACAACTGAGGTGCACTTGAGCAAGGCACCTAACCCCCAATCACTCCCCAGGTGCCGCAGTAAAAATGGCTGCCCACTGCTCAGTGTGTGTGTGTGTGTGTGTGTTTAAAACTCACTGCTGTGTGTGCGCACTTGGATGGGTGAAATGCAGAGAACAAAAACCCCCCACAAACAACGATCGTGATGGCAATCCATAGGACCCCAGTGGAAGAATCAATGTCTTCTGAAAGAAAACGATAGGTCTGTCTCTGTGTGTGTGTCTAAGAAAATAAGTATTTTTCTTTTTTACTTTGTTAAATTATAAAGCATTGCTTCTGGTCTACAGTCATACGAGCGTTCATGAGAGGGACGTTGTGATGTAAGCGAGTCGTGAAGCTCTCACGAGAAGTAACACGGAAGCACAGAGGACCACCATTTCTCTTGTGAGCTTCACAATGCTATAATATGGGTTTTTCCAAGTGTCAAACAAGCAGCACCCATTCAATGCCATTATTTGGACTTACAGAGATGGAATATTTTCCTAAAAATTTTCATCGCGTTTATCTGAAGAAAGAAACTCATATACATAAGGGATGGCACGAGTGAGTAATGATGAGAATACTTTCATTTTTGGGTGAACTATTCCTTTAAGTGTCCAAATACTTTTTGGGGCCACTGTTTAGTTATCAACCACTAGCAGCTTTTTTTTTTTTGTGGTCAAGAATTTCAACATTGCAAACCCACAAACATGTTTTTAGTTCTCAGTTTGAGAAGACACAATGTCTGTAATTACACAAACCACAGTGCTTCACTTGTGTTCCTGTTAAACAGAAATGCTCCCTCTGATCTGAACATCCTTTCTTGTTGTCATATATGTTTATCTAAACCTGCTGAGGGCTGTTCTATTCTGTGCCACTTCACATCTGACCCAAATGGCTGGTTATCATACAAACAGCAGGTCTGAGGCAAGCTCTGACAGTCCTTCTCTCCCACACACGCTAAAGACCTGGCAGCAGGCCGTTCCACTTTAATTCTGTTCATAGACTTAGCTAATGTAGGTGTCAGAAGTTCTCAAATAGCACATGAGGCCCTTCCTCCCTCTCAGAGTCCCTTCAAGTTAAGTTGGTGCACTAGCTGGGCATCTTGGCAACACCTTCATTCAACTATTTTCGGTGCAGGAAACGCTGTTATCATAAGACTTTGCCTTTTAGCTTATATAATTGAACGCACATGCATTTAAGAGTAAACATACTAAAAATAAGCAGCAGAGAAAAAAAAGGAGAAAGGGGAAGCCCAAAGAAAGAAAAAGCAGGGGTTTTTGAGGAAGTACGAGCACCACAGTAAGAACTAAAGTGCTCATAAACTCCATTAGCGGAATAGCTGAGCAACTGTCTGGTAAACAAAGGCAGAGTCAAAATCTCTGTCTAATTAAAGAGGATGTGTTTGTCATTTCCTCTAATACTGAGTAAATATAATAAAGCCTGGAACCAGTCCTTTTAGTTTGCTCTTCTGTCATAAATATCCCCTGACAAAAAACATCAGGCCTTTGTGACATTCATTCAGACTGAAGACCGGACAAACCAGCATTTAAGATGGAGTCAGTCTCCTGCCGAGACTTCACGTTGTCACAGAGATTGCTTAAAAACAGGATGCAAAACCTGCAGGTGAACAGTAAAGCTACTCATTAGCAGAAACATTGCTAGACATGCTTAAGGGATGTAGCTTAAAACATTTAGGATTATCCTAAATGGATTTGAAGCACATTTAGGGCTTGGATAAGTGCTAAATTGGTTGCCAATTTTAATATTTTACAAAAATACAATTCTTTTCAGCATTCATAACATTTCTTGCAAAATCATTGCAAACATCAAGTCAGAAACAGTATTGGATCTTGGCATACACAATATAGTCAATAAGTATGGTTCCCTAGACCAGGGTTGCCAGGTTTTCATAACAAAACCAGCCCACTTGCAATTCGGAAACCTGCCTGATTGTGGCCAAAACCATGTCCAGTAGCCCAATCGTGTTCAGTGAGGATACTCTGTAAAAATTGGGTTCTGTGTGGTAAAAATCGTGCTCCCGTGGTTTGGGGGTGGACTTGGTTCGCTACAACCCGCAGACTACGGGGAAAACAAAAAAACCCATGTCAACAGTATAAAAGTAGCGGAATTGTCAACACTGCCATGAACACGCATTCAAACTGCCTTATAAAAAAATATGTAAATATTTAATTCTATTCCTTTAATTGTGAAACTGTACAATTTCATTTAGTTCACTGTCTGTAGAAAAATAATTAATGTTACACCATGGTCTGGGTGAATACTCGATTCTGATTGGCTGCAGGGTGTCCATTAAAAAGTGATAGAGGACACCTAGTAAAGGAGTTCTGGTGAAATTGACCGTTTACCGTTCGATATTAATAAATAAATGCGCTGGCTACATCAGCTGTGAGTAACCATAGCAACAGGCAGTCAAAGTAAAGTAAAACAAACATCTAGTTAGCCGTTATACTATGCCTACTGTGTGTTTTAATTATAGGTTTTAAAAAACAAACAAAAGTGTAACGCCCATGGCTAGACAAGCCTAACTTACATGAAAAAAAAAACACTTTAACTTTCTGGCTCGTAAGTTAGCTAAACTGAAGGGTTCTACGAGCTGAGCGGACTATAAATATCTCCGGTTGCTAAATAAACCGTCAGGCGTAACCAGGGAAACCAAGTTATTGTTTGTAAAAACTTTAGATTTCGATTGTAAAACTAATTAAAATATAAACTAATGTTTTAAAAATTGTGTTATTTGGCAAGTGACCATGGTATAAGCGGGTTAATGCCCGTCGAGGTGTCCATTGTCTAGGTATTAATGGACTTCGGCGGAGGCAACCCACGCCTCTCTGTCGTCCATTAATACCGGACAATGGACACCTCGACGGGCATTAACCCTTATCAATAATCCTGAAAAAAGGAATCTTTTATTTGAGTTGGTTACACATGTATATAATAAGTACATTTGCATTATGCAATGGCATTAATAGAGTGGTTCTCTCTATATGATTTATGTTTATTGTTTAGTGACGGCCCTCTTCATTAGCCTCCTAAAATGGACAACCGTGAACAGGAAGCACCAGATCATTCAAACGTCAAGCGAGAAAGCATATATTTATTTACTCATTATTATGCCATTGCAAACCTGTATGCTTTTCTTTCTTCTGTGAAACACAAAATATGGTATTTAAAAAAAAGATATAATATATTTTTGTCCATAAAATAAAGGTCTATGGGGTCCAATGCAGTTTTGTAGAAGAAAGAAAGTCATACAGGTTTGGAATAATATGAGGGTGAGAATGATGGCAATTTTTATTTTGAGGCTCTTCTGAAGAAGGGCTCCCTTGTAAAAGAGATTTGAATATCTCAACGGGACATCACCTGGTAAAATAAAGGATAAATAAAAAAAATAAGAAATGCAAATAAAGGGCTCCCATGACAGATTATTTGGCAAGTAATTTAACACCATACAAACTGTCCAAAATGCAGGGTACTTTAGTGTATTTCAAGTTTATTTACTTGTACACACTTTGATTGTATTTGTATGCAATAAACCGAAAGCAAAAGCTCATTAACTGCAAATTCTTACCGGTTCTGCAAGAGTAATGTTTATCAAAGACAGCTGAACCACCAAGCCTGTAGGATATGACTTCTGACAGAGGAGAGGGACAGATTTAGTAAAGGGCCTCTGAACCTAATACTGGAGGCCGGCCAACTGCACGTGCACACGAGAACAGCAATAAGTAGCGTGTATGTGTGTGTGAGAGAGAGAAGGGCAATCCTGACACGTGAGATCATGAGCTCAAAAACACAGCTCTATTCATGGAAATCAGTCTCACACTCCTTACTACTTTATATTTTTAAAGCACTAAATAATGGCTCTAGAAGGAGAATAATAAGAATTATACAATTCAGAGTTCCTGGTTATTACATCTAGCTTGTGTAAACAAAAACACACACATGACCTAAAAGTTTAGATCAAGTTGAAATGTATAAAAACGTCAGCGTTATAGAAATTCCTCGAGTGCATGACCTGTATACATAGACATAACCTTTGGGCACTGGATGACGTAATGCAATAACTTCACCAACATCTGCAGATCATTCCTGGAACTATTCTGAAACTTTTGGCACAAATACTCCCTTAAGAAGCCGCTTGGCTGTGCCAGTTTAGAGTTTAAAATGACCTAAGCTCTCAGCCAATAGAACGCTAGAGTTTGCCAGTGAGAACAGCCCTTGACACACTAGCTGGTCACAGAGGCAGCTGTTGTTTCCGATTTTCATCGAATCATAAACAGCTGTTCTAGAAATGTCCTCACAAACAAGGCATTTGCTAAAAGCCCTCAACTCACCACAGAAAGCCCAGGACTAATTTGCCCAACCCATCCCTAACAGAATTTGTTCAAATGAAGCTCAACTGAACAATGCATTTAAAAGTAGAGGGTTACATTGTTTGAAGAAAATGAGAGTGGTGCTTGCTAATGCACAAGGCACTGCCACAACGCCAGGATGGTGTGTATGGTTGAAAGGGTGTTGCTATGGAGTTACTAAAGTGGTATAAAACATGTTACTATGCGGATTTTAGGAACTTGCTACGGTGTTCTGAATGGTTGCTTACTAGCATGATACCTTAAAAGCTCATTCTCTGGGAATGTGAGTGGTGCTTGCTCATGCCAGGATGGTGCCAGTCAGGATGGTGTGTAGGGTTGCCAGGGTGTTGCTATGGAAGTATTAATGTATTCTGAGTGGATTAAAGTAGCCGTAGCATAAGCTTAGGTGAGAATTGATGCGGAATCCGCTATCGCAGAGGATAGAGCCAAACAAAACGCAGATCACAAATAAGTAGTCTAAAACAAGAAATTTTAAAGAAAAATGTTGGAGGATTTCGATATAACAGAAGAGGAGCTACATCCTACCTCGGATCAGAGGTCACCCTTCTGCCGGAACTCGACTCTCTTGAGAACGTACGTACGTACGTACGTACGTACGTACGGCCGTTCACAGATACCAGTGATTATACTTTATAAGGTTTTAAATATGGGTGTTTTTCTTACAAAAACACATCACTTCAGAAGGCATTTATTAACCCCCTGGAGTCTTGATTACTTCTTCTATGGATGGATGGATGCGCTTTTTGGAGCTTTAAAAACTCGGGCTCGATTCAATGCCATTACAAAGCTGGGAAGAGCTCTGATTGTGTTCGGATGAAAGAAGAAAGTCATATACACTGCTGTAGGATGGCTTGAGTGTGAGTAAATTATGGGAAAATTTTAATTTTTGGGTGAATATTCCTTTAAGAGCCCATTCCCAAGTGACATTCTAATCCCCATTACGGCTTGGGTCCAGTCCTCAAAACTGATTTTTCTTTTTTCAGTTTTTAACCCGTCAACTGGACATCATGTCTGACTACTTAAAGTTGCAGCCCACTTTCCCCCCACAGATCAAACAGTGATAGACTTATCAGAATTTGGACATTTCAAATGTTTTTTGTTTTTAACAGTAAAATTAATCAAAACAGTTCAAACTGCAAAAATCAATCGAGTCTAAATATTCTTGTCAGCATTACTCATAAATAGGGTTAGATGTAATTTATGTTCCAAGCAGACATCAAGACTCCTCTCTAACATGTAAATCTACATTTATAGGAAGTTCCACATGCCTGTGCCAACAACACAGCTAGAGAGAGAGAGAGAGAGAGAGAGAGAGAGAGAGAGAGAGAGAGAGAGAGAGAGAGAGAGAGAGAGAGAGAGAGAGAGAGAGAGAGAGAGAGAGAGAGAGAGAGAGAGAGAGAGAGAGAGAGAGAGAGAGAGAGAGAGAGAGAGAGAGAGAGAGAGAGAGAGAGAGGGAGGTTCTGCAGAACTAGCCTCTTGCTAATCAGTCACTGTGACCAAGTACAGGACACACAGTACTAAAAGTATGGCAAATATCACCATGCCCTAAAATGAAGCCTCATGTGACAAAATCATAACCATTTAGAACATATAGGGTGTTACATATACAGTTATGACAAGGGTTTTGAACCAATGAGAATTTACTGTTGATGGGGGTACCCGAAAATAGAAAACAATATTTTTCAATTTATAATTTGTGAGGCGGGAATATGAGGGTCTCACCTGACACAAGAATGTCGTTGCGGAGGGCACATACAGCATACTCAGACTTCGTGTACTCGGGGTGTTTAGCAAGAGATGTCCACTCTCCCGTCACAGGGTCGTAACATTCTGTGTATGGCAGATTGAACCCCCCCACTCGCTCACAGCCACCCACCACCACAATGACCTCAGAGAAACCAGTGGACCTGCAGATAGGAAGAAACAATATCTTTAGATAAGCATGAGCTTGGAAGTGGAGAAATAAAGAGATGACAGCATCAGGATGTGGTTAAGCTTCATTCCATGCCTAAGGTACAATGAGCTTCTGCAATGATTCATTGGAAAAATAATACTCTTCCTAGACACTTTCATGTGTGTTTTTCTTTTAAAATAACATTCAATGTTGTGTTTGAGAATTCTGACCTGAACAAGCCAAAACCCCCAACCAAACACAAACAGCCGTCTGAAATACACTATGCGACAATGTTAACATTCTATGTGCGTTTAGTGCAGACATTAACTTAAGTCCTGAACAGTGAATGTTTTGCATTTGTGGTTTCTCTGGGCTGAATGTGTGCGTTTTTAAATCACTAAATCATTTTGAAATATGATTTTGACAGAGGTTTTATGGCAGAGTGGAATGTCTGAAAACAAGCTCATACATTTTCAGCACCCAATGCAAGATACTAACTCCAAACACAGATAACACATGCAGAACACAGATACGGCTTCTAAATACAGATACAGACCCCATATTAGGATATTGAATCTAAATACAGAAAGTCCATATTAAGATACTGCCTTCCAGTACAGATTACGGCTCCCCACATCTGACTGCTATAAAGACAGTAATCTAAAAATACAGATACTTCCTCCAAACACAGATATTTCCCTAAATAAATACTGCCTCCAAAATAAGACATGCTGCCACTAAACAAAGACTTTTTTTTTAATTAATGCCGAGCCCTCTTTTAAATGAATTCTTTCTCTAAACAAAAGTACCTAATGTCCTCGTCACTCATGATTAATCGAGTGAGTATGTAGAAATGGATTACATTTGCTCTCTGGAAGAAAACCGTGAGTGGTGCCCGCCCATGCAAAAGTCACAGACACAGTGTGTTTTGAGTGGTTGTAGTGGGGTTCCTAGATATGACGTCCCTCCTGCAATGCAAGTCAATGGGATTTTTCAGGTCCAATCATTTTTTTACTGATTAATGGCAACACTGGCCCAGGCCATTGTTTCAAAGTCGAGGTTAAAGGCAAAAAGCGCATAAAACTGAAGTATACTTTGGGTTTAAGGGGTTTGTTCAAATTCAAAAAGAATAAGCAATACTGATAAAGAAAATGAATTACAAAACAGTCAACGTTTATAATAACTTCGTATTTCAAACAGAATCATGTGCCTTCAATTTGTTCAGCTGTAGTGGATTTTCCAGTAAAGCGTGAACTCCGAGTCAACATGAGTGCATTTTTATTTGATGTGTCATTGAGTTAATTGTTGCATGTAAAATTCAAGGTCATCATAAATAATGTTCTACATCTCATCCTCAAATGTTCAGTGTTCAGCGGTTTAATTTTCTCTGTAAAATGCATGTTATTTTAGTCCTTCACATGAAGAAAAAAATATTTCATGAGCAATGCGGTCAATGTGATCTGACATCTCATTGACCAATTTTTGATCAGAAACTACATCGTACCTGCGAGGTCTTGTACGTGGTGACATCATCTCATTGCCAAGTACATGGTAGCGACGTGCTTCATGCAGCAGTTGGTAACATTCTGGAGCATTCTGGATCAGTTTATCACCTTCCACCTGCAGCAGAGAAATGACCACAATCTTATTGCTTGACCTCAAACCTGTTTCCTCATATCTGCTTTCATGTAGAGTCCAGCTATCTTGTTTAAATAATCTTGTTCTATTATGACAATAAAGAAAGCTTGAACTGACTAGTTCAACACACCTGCCGATAATTTTCAAGCGAACCCCAGGATCTTGATTAGCTGGTTGATTAAGTGTGTTTTGAATTGGAGCAAAACTCAGCAAATAGCCAAATCTCAAGTCCTTGCTTTATCTAGTTTCATAATTTTACGACCATATACTATACCCAAAGACATTTTTTTTGTAGGTCAAAACCCTGAAATAAGTAGAATTTTATAACTTATGGTTCCATCGTCCTGAAGTCAATGGGTTTTTTTTTATTTGTTTTTGGTAAATGCCTAAAATAAGGTCTGTGGCTAACAAGTTCAAGATATTTTCACGTTTTATTCTGTAACTTAAAATATATTAGTAATTCCCCATTGCGACTTTTTAAAAACCTTTTACTTGTCTTGAAAAAAGTTGGACTACAGAGGTGGCCTGGGACATAAAAAAAAAAATCCTATTGGGTTTTTGTTGAGTGAACCAGGGTGATGTTAGCTTCCAGGTTGGCCTATAAAAATACAACAACACTATAGCACTCTATAAACATCTAAGCGGCAGAGCATGTCTGGATTTGTTAAAAAAAAAAAAAAAAAAAAAAAAGAGCTTCTCCACCTGTCCAAATGACTTTGAATGTGCCACTCACCGTCTGGACAAAATAGTTGGGGTGAAGCAGAGGCAGTCGGACATGTTGCAGCAGATCTTTCAGCATGGGCCTGCGATACTCCACGCCGTGGTAGACCCAATGCATCACCGCCTCAAACACCACCTCCTCCTTGCCAATGGACAGTTCGTCGCTGGCCAAGTATTCCTCCAGCTCAACCTTGTGGAGGTCTAGAAACTCCTCATGCTGAGCCACCTCTGGAAAATTCAGCAAGGCGAAAGCACGGCAACGACTGGCCAGCTGTTTGAGAGAGTGGGCATCTGCGAAGCGCTGGATACCGAGGCAGTTGCAGGGGTCCAGCTGCTCCTCCAGGAATTTTGCGCAAGCATCCCGCAGAGTGGCGATCTGGAAGAGGCTGGAGGTCTCGAAGAGGAACTGGACGTTCTGTGTGGTGATGCAGGCATGTCCGGTGTAAACGTACTGCAGGAACGTGTCCATAGCGTCCGCCTGGATGCCGTTGATCTCCACCAGCATCTCGTGGCTCTCCTTGTGGTCGTTGCAGAACATGGCACGGAAGTAGCTGCTACAGGCCGACAGCACGGCACGGTGACAGGGGAACTGGCGCCCCTGGACACTGATGATCACGTCCGTGAAGAGGCGGCTGTCGCGGAATTCGTTGAAGACCTGGAGGACGCTCTCAGAGTGAGAGGAACCGGAAGAGAAGTTGAACACTTCGCTCAGGGTCTTAGACTCCATCTCAAAGATTTTACGCTTGATTGCTGGCGATTCAGGCACGCCACCAGAGTTGCCATGATTCAGACGCCGACCCAAAATGAGCACCATGATTGTATCCGACAGGAGTCCTTCACCAACTAACAATCACTATCAATGCCTGCAGGAAAACAATCAGCAACCATCAACACCTGTAGAGGAACAGCAGTTACAATCAACAAACACTATAAGTGGTATTCAGTCCTACTGAGGTCCACCTTCTTGAGAATGGTACCCCCCTGCTACAACATTACAGTCTGTATTTTAAAGGAAATCCACAGACCTGGTTCAAATGTTGTTATCACTTACTGAGAAAGAAACTACTGCAGCCATATATTATTGACCTCTTAGATTATTACTTTCATACAGAATATGGCCAGACTCACACTTTCAAAGTGACTTTTTGACCCTGATGCAGAGGCTAAAGGTCAAGTTCATGCTCAAGAGAATTTCAATAGTAACAACTATTTTGCAAATCTATCATTATTTGTTATTATAGCCATAACCCCAGGTATCACAGACAAGACTTAAGCCTAGTCCTACACTAAAATGCATTGAGCTGTTTAACTGAAAGCAACTTGCACTGACATATCTTAAAACATGTCAGTGCCATTGTTTTGTCTCAAGATGCCCACCAGTAATGTATTTTTCTAAGGCATGTTTATAAAAGCTAATTCTTTAAAATGTCCTAATTGAACTAAGGCCTAATCTTGGCTTAATCTTCTAAGCCTTGTCTGTGAAACCGGGTCTATGTTTTTGTTGCCAAACCAAATAATTAATTATTAATTCAGCATTATTATTAAGGTAAAATGTTAACTTAAGTGTTATTATAATTACAATTGTATTATAAGTGTTATGATCTGTCACAAGGGTCATGACAACCAGCAACATTTTAAAAAATACAAATGTGTAGTTCATAAATATCTGTGAATTTTACTAGAGCACACTGAAATTTGTCAAGTCGTGAGCAGTAAAAACAAAAAACTAAACAAATATATTCCTCAAGGCAATATAGCACTGATATAAAGGGAAAACTGATTCTTGATTCTTGAACTGCTGAGAGATAACGTGAGCGAGCGCGTGTGTGAGAGAGGGGGAGAGTGAGTTTGCGCAATCTTTTTTAAAAGTCACTCAGGTTTGTTTTGTTGTGGAAGTAGAAATAAAAGAACATGGACGGTTGCTCAATATTTCCCCTACATCTAAACATGCCCCATGTGGACTGAAATGATGACCTCATAGAAATGAGATCAATTATGTGTGATTCTACTCTATAAAAGGCTAGAAAGGCAGGGTACAAGCAAGTCGACCAGATATTATGTTCCAAATAACCATCCTGGTATAACCATTTTGTTGCTGGTCCAAGATAGTCGACCAGGGCAGGCTAAACATTTTCATGCAGTTTCTGAATAAGTAGCATATAATAATACTATAGATTATATATCCTGAATAAATCCTTGTTTGTTAACTCGCCATAAACAACCATGACAGAATTAATCTTTAAAAGCACATACTAGTGTTAACGCATTCATCATATCGCAAATACTGACATCATATCGCATTATACTGACATGATCTCTCAATCATTCAAGTTGTTCAGAAAAGTTTTTCAGCATTATTTTTCTCACCTTATCCCCAAGAGACCAACTTTCTGGAAAACATCAAAAACAATATAGCAAAGAGTAGAGGTCCTTAAAAGTAAATACAATCAAACAAATCCAGTTTGTTTCTGAAAAATAGCTCCATAAAGCGTGAGCACTTGTGTTGTCACTGTGAAGATTTCTTTGTTAACGTCCGTCTCATAGTGGCTCTCTGCGTGTTCTGGCACAAAGAAAGTATACACACAGCTTTTAGTCTTCTGTTGTGTCAGCTGTTCTGCAGGGTGTTTATAGGGAAATGTAGTTCTGGTGGCATATCAACATCATATCTCCAGTCCTTCAAACCAGCAAAAGAACATCATATCCCAGAATTCCGTGCGGGAGAATTTCCATGTGGCTGGCCGTTGTTTGCAAACAAAAACCTGATTATGATATGAACGAAGACAGTATGTGTCATGTTGTTACGGCAAAACAAAACAGCCTTTTCAAGTGTAGTAAAGCCCATACTGTTGTTTGACGTTATTATACATATTATTTTGTAGGCTACTACAAGAACAAATTATTTAGATTAGAAAAAGTCATGTCTCACTTATTTACATGTGTTTTTGTAAATATATTAAAAAGGCTGATGTTGATATTGCGTTCGTTTCTTTCAGTAACTGTAGAAAGCCGACTTGATTAAAAACTAACAAAACAGGTAGTTCACTTCACTTGACAGAAACGGAAAAACAACGTCACGCGTGACTAGATACTTGATCTACCTGATATTAAATTCGATAATATGCCAATGATAAAAGGAATATTATGTGAATTATATAAATTGCGATCTATGCAAATAATTATAGGAATATTAGTTTGAAAAAAAAAAAAAACATTTTATTTCCAGCATAACTACAAGGAGAAATCATCCTTTTAAAAAACTGTATCAACACCGCCATCTTGTGGTGGTGTTTCGCGCGCATTATTTTCTGACATAGCCTATAACAGTGTCCCACAGCACAGACAAACATTATATTACACAAATGTATTATACTTATCACAATAATAGGGATAGGCCTATGTATTCTTGGATTAATTTCCATTAGAACCTTAATATATGAATCGAATTTTGCAGCAGCAGTGACATTTGTAAAGTTCATTTTTATCAGACGAACACAAGAGAGAGAGAGAGAGAGAGAGAGAGAGAGAGAGAGAGAGAGAGAGAGAGAGAGAGAGAGAGAGAGAGAGAGAGAGAGAGAGAGTGAGTGAGTGAGTGAGAGAGAGAGAGAGAGAGAGAGAGAGAGAGAGAGAGAGAGAGAGAGAGAGAGAGAGAGAGAGAGAGAGAGAGAGAGAGAGAGAGAGAAAACAATGTTTAACTTTAACACTTAAACTTCTCTGGTAAGTGTTATTTATTCATTTTCAGTAACCTTTCAAATAACCCAGACGTATAATAACCATTTTTACATAAGCTTCAGGTGCTCGGTTAGTCGCCCTTATAACAATTACCATGGTTTACACAGCCTTTCAGTCGAACTATTACAACAGTCACTGCAATAAAATATAGCAACTTGGATTCAGCCACAGCTGTTATCAAAAATAAAATAAAATTAGCGATTTTCAAAGCCTCTTACACTTCTTGTAAGTTGATAGGGTTTATAGACAGGCGATGTCATAGTATGAGGCTAAATCTGATGCATGTGCAAGACTCTGAACAAAGCATATGAAGGCTGGGAAATGACTTAGTAGTTTTTTTATTGATAGTCTAGAAATAAAAAGTGTTAGTAACAAAATGCATTGTGTAAAATACCATAAGTAAATACATAACACCAAAATAAACTACAACTTTTTGAATATTCACACATATTCTCAGGCATTTCATATTATTACTTTCCTCTTGTGAACAAAACCACAGTTGAGCATCATTGGAGCTATCAAATGTAAGGTTTTAACTGAATGAGTTAATTAAAGCTCAACAACACCCTTTCAAATGTCTTTTTCACAGGTAAAATAAGCATCTTTATAGCACAGGTGTGATAGTTCTTGGCCTATTCAGCCGAAAGAACTGGAACAACACGCCGCACAGTTCTCTATAGCGTAGCCCATACAGGTACGGAGCTAAGGCTTTGGGCAGGATGAGTAAGACGTTACACACCACCAGGGACATCCACAGGCTTGCTCTGAGGTCCAGAGTCTCACTATTGTGGCAAAGCATCAGCTCGATCTCCAAAACCAGCAGGGGACAGAAAGCCAGGAACAGGTGGAGATAATGGATGAGAAATGTTCCTTTAGCACGGGACGAGGCTTGGCCCTTCCACACACCCGAATTACGTGTATAAAAGTAGAGGATGAGGTAACCAGACAACACCAGAAGGAGGATGAAAATGATACCGGTGACTGTCAGCAACATTGAGACATAGAGTGGGCGAAAGTGGCTTACAGTCAAAACCATCAGCAAAGGCAGGGAGCAGATGTGGAGGGCGCAGGGGGCCGTACTATGGTACCACAAAAACATGCCAACAGCTGCCGCAGGGAAAAAGACTGAGACGGCCCAGATGGCAGCAACTGCTCCGTAGGTTCGTGACACGGGCCACACTGCCAGGTAGCGAAGGGGTGCTATTACAGCAAAGCAGGTATCCATCACCATTGCTGTAATACTTAGTACGCCAGAACTGTATAATACCGCGGATAGGAAGAGCAGCACGGCACACGGCCACTCTGTCATCAACACACCGGATAAGTTGATGCAGGCACTAAGAATATTCATGCAAACAAACAGTAGGTCGCTGAAAAGAAGATTGGCCAGGAGGAGGAAACGCGTCTGCTGCCGCAGGTCAACGCGGGACAGGATACGTATTAGAAGAACCGGAGTGGTCAGCAGAATGGCCAGGAAGGCCAAAATGGGGCACATCTCAAGCACTTTCATGTGGCAGGGAGGGATGAATCCATGCCACTCGTGCGCAAACATCTCCGCTTGGCTTTCAGAGGAGTTGGAAAAATTTGAGGAACGTCTGTGAAGCTCAGCTCGACCAGACCTGTTGTACCAATTGCCAAATGAACAAAGCAGAGATAAAAAAAGGTCTTCCTCAGCTAGGTAGAAAAGCTTAGACTTTCCCTCCATCAGAGTTTCCATCTCTTGGCACGTGTTTGTGCGTCCAATCCAAGGCAAAAACAGCGACGGACAGGTAAATTTGTCTCTCCTTCTCTCTTCTTGCAGACTGTAGTAAGTGATTCAGGGGACAGATCTGTCACAGGCTTGTAGATCGTTTCCGTGGAGATAGAGAAACGGGTAAATATCACTTCACAGCTAAAAGGATCAGAATGACACTGGGATTTTGCACCAAGGCATAAATATTGATATGTCTTCCTAGAATCAGGACTATTGCGTAACATTTACACTGTTATTTTTGGACTGATTGTTTAACTTGGAGGACTAAGTGCCTCAAGTTAAACATTGAATGCATATAGGAAATTGGAGAAAGACACAATCATGTAAAAATCCTGTAATGTAAATTTATTTAGAGAACAAAACAGCACTATCGACCAGTACTTACAAGAGCTTGAATCAATATTGTGGTCATGAATAACAACATACAGTATATTGCTGGGAGAATCTCACAAAAAATTGTCAAGAGATGTCCTTAAAAAAAGGAGGATATTTTGCATGAGTTTACATATTTTTGTTTACATATGAGAATGGCATGCAAAAAAAATCTTATTGTCATTATGAAGATTATCCTGTACACACACACACACATACATATTTACATACTGAGTTTTGTTTCCACATGATGACGATGAGAATTTGCAGAAATTGTGCTTAAATTTATTAAAATACCGGTATGTATATTACAATTATATATAGAAATATTAGTGTGTGTTTTTTTTTAAACCTTTTTCTTTGGTGTAAAATCTGACCTGGACATTTCTTTCTGAGATTCACCCAGTTGCACTTGATATAGTTTTGTTATGATGAATAACAGGACATAGCATTAAATGTTTAGTTTACAAATGAAAATATAAAAAGATTTAAATATATGTGATATTTCATATTAAAGGTTAAAATGCTTTAATATAATATTAATACTAAATATTAAATGTTTCTTTTGAGATGTCTTTCTGGCTCAGGAGTAATTTAAATTCACTCTTCTGCAAATTAATCCTCCAAAAACAGAGGAACCAGATACAGTTATTTTGCAGGGTGGCTCTGCTCTAGCTTCAAGTCCACTCTTCTAGGCCGCACTTCTCTGACTCTGTCGTCTCTTCTTCCACAACACCTGCTGGACAGTCTCGTAAATCTCGCGATAGCGCAATATGTACAGGTAAGGAGTGCAACAGCGTGGCAACAACATCAGTATGCACATATTCACCAAGTCAATCAACACTCCCACCACATCATCCTTGGTTGCTCGATTTAAAAGAGCCAGCTCGACTGCAAAAACCAACGCCGGTACAAAATACATCATGAGCAACAGAGTGTGTGCCAAAAGCGTCATACGCGCCCGGGAATAGCGACTACGCCATATCCCAGAAGTCTTGGTGATGATGTAGAGATGTATGTAACAGTACACAATGAGAGCAGTGCAGAGGCTGATGGCTATGATGAAATACAAATGAACGCCATCACTGAGTTTCTGCTCCAACGAGTGCAACGCAATCAGCACCAAACACACTGGACGGCTCTGTTGGTCACTACCCATCACCATCGCAAACATCACCAGCAAGGAGACCGGACACACTGCGGCCATCACCCATACGCTCATGATTATCTTCTTGGCCCGAGATGGCGGGAGAATCTCTTTGTAACGTAATGGCCAACGTACAGCCACATATGTGTCGACAACCATCAGTGTGACCGTGATCACAGAGCAGCTGTACGTCATCACCATGCTCACCATCATAAACTCACACAGCGAGTAGGGCATGTACAGGCCTACAGAGTTGCAGGAGACCATCGCAAGGTTTATGGTGAGGAAAAGCATGTCGGCGAAGAGCGTGTTAGCAAGGAGCAGGTAGCGGGTCTCTTGGCGTAGCGAAGGATAGCACAGTATACAGATGGACAGAACGGGGTTGACCAGCATTGTGACAGAGGTTAGCAGAACCGTGGGGATGAGGAACAGATACATATGTCTGGTGTCCATTATTCTGTACCACTCCAGAGAGATGTTACCGATTTCTGTCATATTTAGAGTCCAATGACGCACTACTGAGAGAAAGCGTTGGGGTGAAGAACAATTGCTCCTCGGTATGCTGAGACTGGAACGGTGGAGCACATATATAGCTTCTCTACCTACAGAAAACAGAAAAAACATGATGAGTACAGAAATATGTACATCACCATACACACCGTATGACCTGTAAACTTAGGATAAGGCTTCAAAAATATTGAACGTTTTTCAATCAAATGCAAATTCAGTTTCATTTTTTGTAAACCAGAAGAAGGAAAGACAATACAAGAAATATTCGAGACGCATCCTGCAAATACACTGTCCAATCAAAAGCTCTATAGAATAAGAATGTCCATCCTAATATTACAGGCAATTTTCTTATAGGAACTATCTTCAGTATGTCCCAATTCCTGGTGGACTGTAAAAGAATAGTTCACCCAAGAATGAAAACTCTCTTACTCCTCATGTTGTTCCAAACCTGAATGACTTCTTTCTTCTGTGGAACATAAAATAAGCTAATTTGAGAAATGGTTGTTTTTTTTACATTACAATGGAAGTCAATGGTCACCCAAATGGTGTAGGTACCTACATTCTTTAAAATATCTTCGCTTGTGTTCCATGGGAGAAAGAAATACTTAAAGGTTTGGAGTAAATGATGACTGAATTTTAAGGTTTGAGTGAACTATGCCTTTAAATGGTTATTATAGCCTGAATTAATCTTTCCAGTTTGTAGTTTCGCCAAAAAATAATGATGGATAAATATTACATTAATCATAAAAAATAAAAAAATAAAAATTCTCCCAATACACAATTAGACAAACATAAAAGTAATTTTTTTTTGTAAATTATTGTAATTTCTATGAATTTCTAAGCATCTCATTCCAGTCTCTGGTAAATGGACCTGAATGATGAACAGAGAATAAAAACAAATAGTCCAAACAATATACCTCTAATTAGAACAAGTTAATTTAGATTTTCTTACAGATTCCTGATAATACTTAATTTTTTTTTTAAAAGAGAAAGAAATGCAGAAAATGGGTGAGAGTCCATATTTTCATGAAAACATTAAGACACAAATGAAAGGGTTAATATCGATAACAATATGAAATATATAAAAATATACTTTTGAGTGAAACTGAATGAGCCTTATAAACCTCATTACAGTTTCATCTGAAATTCTCAGTCACAATGCCAAATGGCATAATTTTCAAACGAAAAGCAAACCAAATCTATACAAATAATAATGTGTTTATTTTGTGCTAGAAACTCTTATCTCTAACAACACACCAAACATTGTGACATGGCAGAGTTCCTGTACTATTCCTGATCCACAAAAACACTTCTGTTAGTTTCAGCCCCGTTTCACAGACAAACAGTTCACAGAGGAAGAATGAAATATGGTTGTATTGACTAACAATCGATTAACTGTTAAAATGACTCACGTACCTGTTCCACTCATCCACGTGCAGTAACCTCTGCTTCCATCCAGACCTCCATTAGACTAATGTCGCCCCAGATCAATACCTCCCGACTCTGTCCTTGTTATCAGAGAGCAGGCGTTCCACTGATGCGCACAGATCCGTAAACCATCGCACGGCACTAACACTCTTTAAGCTCTCTATGGTTACTCAGCATTTGGTGTAAATTGTGCTGACCCTCCCCATGACAGGCCGTTCAGATAAACTAACACTAACACCGTTATTACCTCAATGTCCCACGACACTACTATGCACCTCATATCCGGAGCTAAAAGCTTATAAAGCAATAAATGAGATGGAGGGTTAAACAAACAAATAATTGACATAAATGTTGGCATGACCACCAGTCCGTAAACAAATGAGGTTAGTATTTGCATTGTTGGTTTTATGCAAAACCGACATCATCATGCATCACTCATAAAGAAAAAAACATTGGTGAATTTTGCTGAATTAAAAAGTTTATTAATTTTGATTCATTTTTATACAAAATGCCTCATCTCCTGTCCTTCTTGTAACCAGTGTTCCAGTGATGCTTCCTCCCGTGCTGTCCGTCATCATCATCATCTTCTTTATCCTCCCCTAACTCCTCGTCCTCATCACTGCTGTACTCGTCCTCCCTCCCTTCTTCCTCCTGCTCTCTCGTCATCAGTTTGCGAAAAACATGGAACTCCTCTACAGTTGCCATGGCGACCTGTGTCAGGTATTTTTCCTCTGAGACGCAGAGGACGTCGTTGAGCGGGGGGTTGGCGATGAGTGTTTGGCCTTTCTTGTCTGGCGTCTGGTACAGTCCCCTCCGCTCCAGAAAACAGTGACGACACCGCAGCTCAGACAGAGACATCCGGAACACCTTCGCCTTCAACATCTCTGCCTGCCGCACACCCATACGGAAATATGCATACTGGGGGGGGACAAGCTGTGAGTCAGTTTGCAACTACAAACACTGCCCTGTGAATGCAAACTTCAACAGGGTTTTTCCTGGCTCAAAATGAGGCGGAGGTGGTAAAATTGTAACACTAGGGGGGTCCAGGGGCATGCCCCCCCGGGAGAAAATTTTGTACATTTTAAAGATAAATTCATTAATCTGGTGCGCTTTGAGTCACTCGAATCTGTTGTTAAAAATAAATAATAATCCACCCGCCAACCACCCATATTCTTTGATTTAGATATCTGCATCTAATCATCACATTACAATTATTCAATTAAGCATGATGATATGGTAACATATCACACAATTAACATTTATTTAAATTAAAAGTTCTTCTTTTGGCAAAATTACATTTTCTTTATAGCCTAAACAGAGGCTTTACTCCCTTTAAACTTATTGTCAATGTTTCATTTTTGAAAACACTCTTATCGGAATAATTTTTTGTACCTTTATAAAGGGCATTTTCCCCCTAATTTTATTTAATGTATGCTCTAAATTTCATTTAAAATTCTTACATTTTATCAATACATTCAATTAAAATAATAAGACACTAGGCTGTTACCAATCAAATTAAATAATTTACATTGAAAAATTATAACTGTATTAAATGAGATTATTTTGGATATTTTTTGAATATACAAGGAATGTTGAAAAGAATGATACTTTGAAACTAAACCGCCAGTAGGAGGAGGCAGGCGGCCGTCTTAATGAGCGAGTCATTGAGTCATTAATGTAAACGATTCGTTCAAACGGCTGATTGATTCAGAATGAGGCGGTTTAATAATGGGCAATTGAATCTTTGACTCAAGCGATTAGTTCAAAACGCTGAATGATTCAGTAATGAATCATGGATGAGTGTTGCTGTGAGACGCGATATGGTTCTGTTGTTTGGAACTATTTTCGCTGCTAAAACAGTCTAAAAATGTAAGTAACTTAATTTTAACTATTTGTTTATTGAACTGTTATGAAATTAATATCTCGGTTTCAATCGTGATGGCATTCAGGAAAACAGCACTCTGGTCGTGTGTAGCCTATATATTGTTTCTTAACTATAATTAATGTTATAAATAACTGCGCGAGACTCAACATCGCAACTTTGTTACCGTCCGTACATTAGGTACCATGATGGGAGTTCCGTGTCTTTATTACACTCATTTAGCTGTCATCCACCCTCGATTGAATGGAATGTTTTTATTACTCGGCCCGCGGATTATGATCCGTGCAGCACTATCGGCAAACTACACGGTTAGAGAATGGACACAAGCGGGAATCGCGACAGTTGAATGTCCGAGTTTTGTCGAGAGGCGGAGGCGGCACGAAATTTGACGGAGGCGGCCGCCTCATAATTGTCTATGCAGGAAAAACCCTGTTCAATGAGCCGCAATGGCTCACAAAACAGTCATGAGAAAACCATTTACAAGGATAGTTTACTCTAAAATCATAGTTCTGCTAGTATGTACTGTCATCAGAGCAAGGGAAACTTTTAGTGAAGAATGGTTTAAACTTACAGATACCTGTCGTACCTGAAATTTGTACTCCAGCTGGACCAAATCCTCCTCTAAAACCTCAGGTGAGTCTCTGAGGATGTCTGTCACCTGTTGGACGGTGAAGAGGCATTTTTCTTTAAGCAATCGGGACACCATGTTTACCCTCTTGATAGGCAGGACCATGATCTTGGGGTAGTGACTGATCATCCTCTGCAGACTGCCTGTGGATAGATTTCAGAGAGATTTCAACTTGACTGGCTTTCAAACTGGGGTCTATGGAGTAGTCCATTTATTTGTATTTTTTACTAAATGTATTTTAACAATGAGAAAAAAACAAAACAAAAAACGAACAGTCAGAGATAATAGCCTTGTGGGCAGCGCTCTGACATGCGGGCGACTCCAGTTTGAGTCCTGGCTCGTGGACCTTTCCCTATCCCGCTACCCCTCGCTTACTGTGTATTGTCTATACTGTCCTATCTCGATAAAGGCAAAAAATGGCTAAAATAAATCTCACACAAAAAAGAAAGAATTAGCGTTATTAGAATTAGAAATTAGCGTTTAATTTTGAGAAAACAAACTATTTACTTTCTCTCCTTACTTGCAATGTACATAGGTTTAAGGTTTAAAATGCTTTGGAACAATATGTATCAAAAACTGTTCAACACAAATAAATCATAGTTGAATTAATTTTAAAAAAAGTTTATCTTTTATTTTAATAAAGGTTAAATATTACTTTATACAAAGTAAACATTTTCCAAATAATGTTTCACATTTCAAACGTTTACACCCCCGTTCTAAAGTTTGGGGTCAGTAGAATTTTGATAAAATGTTTTAATAAGCATTTATTTTAAATAAAATAAAAAGTTACTTTATAAATGTATTTACTGTCAGTATTTATCAATATGCATGCATGCTGAACAAAAGTATTAATCTGAAAAAATAAAATATCTTACAGACCCCAAACTTTTGAACGGAAGTGTAATTTCCTACCAGAAAAGATGCATCACCTTCTAACAATCCCATCTTCCTCAGATGATTGATGCGCTGCTGTAATTCCGCACCTTTAAGTGAATATACCTCTGGACACTTTTGCATTATTTTCAGGATACTGGAGGGATTTAATCCCAGGAGCAACAGTGCTGTCAGAACAGACGGAACATGTTTCCCACGGCTCTTCGTTGCACCTTCATGCATCTCCTCGGCTTGAGTTTCTGAGAAGCCCATTTCAAGCAAAGAGGACAGAGTGAGCTGGGTCACAGGACTGTGGGTGACCTGACCGGTGCGAGATGGATTCAAGTGAAGGGGCTCTTGTGTGGTGCAGAACGGCATATGACCTCTGCTCGTAGCCACAGGACAAACACGCCATCTCCACATCCATTGCACCATCTAGGACACAGAGAGAGGAAGCAAATGCTGTTCAATTCAGTAAATAGTGTTTGGACAATAAATCTGAGGCCTGGTTTCACAGACAGGGATTAAGGTTTCACAGAGACAGCCTGGTTTCACAGATTAAGCCAGGATTTTTTAAAAATTAGGACATTTAAGTAGCTTTTATAAACATGCCTTAGAAAAAACATTACTGGTGTGCATCTTGAGACCAAACAGAAATTGCTTTCAGGTAAAACAGCTCAAACATGCAATTAACTTTACTTTTAGCCCCAGTCACCCTTATGTGTGTATGTTGAGATGCTGTAACTGTTGAGGGGCTATACATTATTTTTAACCAAATTTAGCTAAAAGAATGAGAGTTCTAGATGTACGAATGAATGATTGTGACCTTGCAGTTCTAATCATTGAGGCAGACGTTTCTTGCTAAACTATTTTCAGTTTTAACGTTGTGTTAGGATATCCAGATTTTCTAGAAATCACATAAACGGTTATAATATTAAATACGCTATTAAACCATTTTTATAATCAGATTCATCACAATTGTTACTCTGGTTCCCGGAATCTGCTTGATACAAAAATAAAGTTGGCTACATCGCGACAGTTTCTTAGCAGCTGTTGAACATTCAATCGAGTGTATAATTCCATAATAATGTATGAAATTTCTTTAAACATTTCGTCCTCACCTGTTTTCTGCAAACATGCGTTCCCATATCTGTGCCGCGTCAAAATACACCCGCGCTGCAACAACAGCCAGAGCTCAAAAGTTCCGGATATTTCAACAAAAGACGTTATTAAAAACTGCAATAATTTTTATTGAAGAATTCCCGTGACAGTAACATTTGATGGGGGCTTTGCAAAGCCTGTGAGCAATATGAAATAATACCAGTAACAGACAGCCAAAGCAAACTGAAATGATGCCAATAATTTATTCACAAGATAAATATTGCAATGTTAAAATTAATTAATATGTTAATTATTTAAAAGGTTAAAAATCAACCTAAAAATATTTTAAAAACTCTGAAGGTCTAACAACACATATCTTAAAGCTCAGGTAACCCTCATCCAGGTCTAGAGCATGTGCCATATGTTTTAATAGGACAACCCTTGTGCTCAACACCATTACAACAAACAGCAAGAACTTTCTACATCTCAGAATACCATGTTTTAAACCTCCATGAAAGGTGAAATACACAACACGTTTGATAAATACACTCCTATTCCTTCACCAAACACAGAGATAAAACTGTTTCTTAGCAACACAGATTGCTTCCATTCCCAGTCACACTTTCCTTTTGCTCTTTGGACGGACTGGTATCATCAAGAAGGACAGCAGCAGGTGGACGGAGAGTTCTGCAGAGATTGTGCATTAGTGTTCATGGTGACATTAGATGTAATGCCATAATTAGTTGGCCAGAACGCATTAGCGTTTCTTTCACAACAGTTCCTCACTCGTCTGTGAGGTATTTCAGCAGCTCGGACTGCAGCGCCGCCATAGTTCTCCTCTGCTCCTCATCCTCCTCCTCATCTTCATCTTCTAAAGGAGTGTCTTCAAGGTTGTTTTCGGGGTCCAGGTAGAGGATGTCTGCTCGGTGCACACATGACGAGTTGGACTCCACATGCTCTGTGGATTTTGAGTTAAAATCGTATATTGTATGAAACCTGCAGCATTGGATTTAAAGTAAAATATGTTTGACTGAGTTGAATATTATCTTTTTGGTAGCATAAAAGGCCACAATATAAAAATAAACTAAAACCAATACCGTTGCTGGAGGGAAAGACCTCTCCCCACGAGTACTCTGCTAGATTTATGGGTTGCTGTATCCACTGTGATTCCAAGAGCTCCTCTAGATTCATTCTCTGATCAACCACTGGGTGCAAAAGACCAGCCAACAGTGCATACAACTCTAAAACAAGAACAAAGCAACAGGTTGTACAGTAATAAAGCCACAATTTGCAGAATTTGTCACATGTCTCCAGTTGATTCTTATTGCTGTGATGAAGCAGATCTTCAAACCTGTAGAAATCTGGCATGGAGGGTGGAGTCGGGCCTGCAGGGTTTCTTCCACACTGCAAAATGGGTTTTCACTGAACAGTAAGGTGTATAAGAGCACTCCTAGAGACCACATCTCCAGCTCTGGACCCTCGTATCTAAATACATCAAAAAACATCACAATGAAATATGGAACCTGCAGTCTCATATTTCACCTTTAAATGCAAGCAGATGAGTGGACATACACATTTATGCAAGATTGCATTCATCATTTTAGTTAAAATTCTCATCAAGTTTTCACTTAAAGTCACATAACATTTTTTTTAAAATGGAATATTGCAGAATTTACTATAAATCATCGATCCGTTCACATTTAATTCATGTGTCCTCATAATCTTTAAGCGAAATAACTTCCCCTTCATCTTGAGATCACAGCAATAGCAAACCACAACCATCCAATCAATTATTGGACAAAATCAAGTCCCGACCGACATTTATTCTTGTTCCAGAAGCCATTTCACCTGGATATACATTACAATAAAGGAAAAGACTAATTGCAACTTTTGACTTTAAGGTGTCAATTTTATTTGTTAAAGCCATTATAGCACTATATTCATGTGACATTCACCTACATAGACTTTTAAAAATTTCACAACCTTATTTTACTTGTGATGTTGCATATTTCCAAGTTAAGCAGAATATTCATTCTTAGTAAGTAATTTAACGTTACTACATTTTTATTGAGGGAGAATAAATAAAGACCTGCTTTGATGAATCATGCACAATAACAGTATTAAATGTAAATAGGATCAATTTTGATTTAATGTTGACTTTAAAGGGGAACTTGGCAACTCTAGTCGTTTCTTCGCTGATTTTCACATTTGTTGTCGCATGTCGTCTCAAACAGCTCCCCCTACAGCTTTGGGGCATATATTTCACAACACTGTCGTAAAAAAGAAAATCACTTGTGGCACCCTCCTCCCCCTTTCTACCGCTGCTCATGTGCATTTGTTATTATCGGAGCCGGACAACTTTATCGTGTGGAGCTATGTCTACCGAGGTGGGTAATACATCATACACAGTATTGTATGGCGTGTGTGTTAATGTCGAATTGCCGTAAAGCAGTTTGTGTTCTTCGCTCGTTCTCGCTTCTCATGAGACTTCCTATTTTCAACTTACCGGGACGTTAGTCCCTGTAAGACTGGAAGAACTGGTTGATGGAATCAACCTCACCACAGATCTATAAGACAAAGGACCTTGTTTGCAAATTTACATCTGAACACCTCTCACACACATACTCCCGCATCCCCCACTCTTGCAGAGATCACCCACACTCACACAAGAATTTATATGGGTTTAATTTGAACAACTATCATAGAGTTTTATATATGTGTTTAGTATCATTTAAACTGTCGCAGGGTGAATGGTACAAATGTCTCATTTCCAAATAAGTAAAACAAAAGGAAATAAGGTTTTTAAGAGTTTAGGGACATCTGGCACACAAAGGAATGTGGTCTCTAGGCACTCCCAAAGGTGTAAATTCATGAATGCTAATTTCCACTGTTCTTAGCAGATGGTCAACTTCTACCCCCAGTAATGGTGGGGGAATACAGTCAATTTCCACTAAACTCAAGTTTTACATATCAAATAAGGTTTGGCTATATAAGGAAAATGCAACGAGAGCTCAGGGCTCTTTCTGTATTTCAGATGTTTTATATTGATGATCTTTGAACTGATAATGAAATTGGCATAATACTTTTACCTGACATAATAAATTGTTATATTTGATTATTCTAACAGACTTTGACGTTATTTTCATTGGAGTTAAAAGGAATAGTCAAACATTAACGTATATTTAATGATGCACAGATATCATTGAAAAACCTTTTCATTTTATGGAGTCAGATGAAACGAGTTAATACATAAGATAAAATGTATTGCATTTAATTAAAAATCCCTTTGCCATGGGAAGAGACGGAGACCTTCACCTCTAATAGAGTACCGCCATTTGGATCGAATTAGACGGACTTACATCCCCATGTTGCAAGGTTGTTTTTTTGCCTGGGAACGCTGGGGGGAGCGGGGAAAGTCACCATTCTCACCAGAACAGGTTATTTAACCATCCAAATGATTTCTAAACTGGTTTATTAAGTTGAAATAGTTGCCAAGTTCCCCTTCAAGGGCATCGTAGCGATATAAGTTATCCTGTGAAGTTAATGTGTGGCTCTTTTTATAGACATGAATACATAACCCATGCGTTACCCTTCTCACAGCCTTAACCACCTGATCCTATCCTCTATATTCTATCCTTATCAAGCTAAGACACACAGATGGAACTGAGACGGGCTGTGTGATGTTTCAGTACGTACGGGTTTCCCTGAAGCACCTCTGGTGAGCAGTACTCCAAAGTGCCACAGAAGACGTAGAAAAGTTTTCCGGGTTCCAGCAGGGCAGCTGAGCCAAAGTCGATCAGCCGGATATGAAAGTTGGAGTTTATGATGATATTTTCATCCTTTATGTCCCTGTGAAGAACTCTTTTGCCCCGCAGGTAACTCACTGCGGCTACCAACTGCGTACAGACACATACAGAAATATCAGGTGAAAGTGAAAGAAATATTCAATAAAACTTTACTCCAGAGCTCACATCAGAATATTATAGGACTACTGGTTACCGACACATCTACTCTGTGCTAGTTCTCATAGCCGGTTTCTCACCTGTCTGAAGATGTAGCTGGCAAGAGGCTCGTCCAGTCTAGGCTGCATGTCGATGAACTCAAACAGGTCTAGTCCGTCCCCATGTTTCTGCATGACCATTTGGAAGAATCCCTCATTCTCAAACACCTCCAGCACCTGCAGCAAAAATTTAGGACACTAAACGTCAACCACAGTGAACATGCAATAATAACGATTGCATTTTCTCAGGATTCTTTGATGAATTGAATGTTCATTTATGTAAAATAGAAATCTTTTGTAACATTATAAATGTCATTATATACCATCAATTTTGATCAGTTGAATGCATTGTGCAGAATATATATATATACACTACCGTTCAAAAGTTTGGGGTCGGTACGATTTTAAATACTTTTAAAAGAATTCTCTTCTGCTAACCATGGCTGCGCTTATTTGATTAAAAATACAACAAAACAGTTATAGTATTAAATATTATTCCAGTGTAAATCAGCTGTTTTCTGTGTGAATATATAGTAAAGTGCAATTTATTCCTGTGATCAAAGCTGAATTTTCAGCATCACCAGAGTCAGTGTCTTCAGTGTCAAATGATCCTTCACAAATCAGTATAATATGAGGATTTGATGCTCAAGAAACATTTATTATTATTCTCAATGTTGAAACAGTTGTTGGTCTGTCAGTTGTACGTTTTTTTTTTTTTTTTGGATTCTTTGATGAATAGGAAGTTCAAAAGAACAGCATTTGTTTGAAATAGAATCTTTTGTAACATTATAAATGTCTTTACTGTCCTTGATAAATAAAAGTATTGATTTCTTTCCTCCAAAAAATAAAAATAAAATTCTCACTGACCCCAAACTTTTGAACGGTAGTGTATATATATATATATATATATATATACTTTATTATTCTGCACAATGCATTAAACTGATCAAAATTGATGGTATATAATGACATATATATATATATATATATATAAAAATTAATTAAGGAAAATAATTCTTAATGACTCCAAACATTTTGTGCACCAATAATACACATTATAAACAATGTTTTGGTTAGAATTGACATAGATAAAGCATGTGTTCTGAACATATTCTTTGAATTGGACAGTCTGAAAGTACTGATTTGCATAAGTTGTAATGCAAAAAGTGAGGTATATGCATTATTTCGGAGTGGTGATTGGCTGCCGTGGCTGGAGAGTACGATTTTACGTCATGATATCAGAACTGGAGTTTGACTACCAATACACGGGAAAAAAATTTGACTGTAACAATATTTAATTTGTAACAGCATGCGGAGCGCGGAGGAGAGAAGTTTCTGTGTGGAACGCTGCAACACTGGCAACGCAGATCACAGTTCATATCCGGACTAGAACAAGTGTTTCAAGTTTTTACGGACATATTTCCCATAGTCTCCTGCTCCAAACATGAACCAACACAGTGTATGCGCACACATTTCATCATGTCTTCTTCAAATGAAATAGTCTATGTGTGCAGATAAGGACACTAATACAGCGGTACGTCTGATCATGAACACAAATGACAAGGATTATTCTGATGATAATAATGTAGACCAAAAATGTTTCTTAATTCCCCCAACTCTGTTGCTTGTTTTTTATTCACTCATTTTTAATAATGAGTGTGCAGCAGGTCTGTGTTTTAATGGTTGTTAAAATGCCCAATTTTTGGAGTTCTTCTCAAATCTGAGGTGTGAATGATCAGGCTAAAATAGGGGGGTTTCATGACACTTTAATGGCCAATTTATTTAAGCAATGTTTGATCATTTTATTTGGGCAAAAACACTCTAAATATTTAATATTAATATATAGTCAAACAGTTCTCTGAGTGTACCTTCACAATATTGGGATGTTGCAAACGAACCAGTATGGCCACTTCCTGACTGATCCGGCCCAGATCAGGATCATCCACCCAGCATTCACTCACCACCGCACTTTTCCTAATGAATTTCACAACCACCTGAAATTGAAGTGAGTGATAATAAATTCAACATCTCTTCAGCAGCTCATATAATTGTCCATAAAAGATTGAATGGACCCTACAGCAATGACACTAACTCAGTGTGTAAACATCCTCTTTTAAGAACCCTGTCTAAGGTTTGAACAACTGACGTCAACATTATCAGGTTATTATCTCTCAACCGGATAAATATGAGTGCATGGACAGCAGTGAGCGCAGAAAGAGTGTCACTGACTTCCTGTCCACATATCCGTCTTGAAGCGAGCCAGACAAAGCCGAAGGCTCCCTTTCCAATAGAGCGCAGTGGGCGGTAGTTTTCCTCAAAATAACCCTCACATGCTCCGGACTGCTCCAGGTCCACAGAAGAATGCAAAGGATCTGACCGAATTGCCTAAACGAGAAAAAAGTAGTTGCTTAGGAAATGAGCTTTTTAAAGCCTGTCTTCTAGATTAAGTACTCATGCAGATCACCTCAGCAAGGCTGCAGGCAAAGGCCTCCTGTTCTGGGGCTCCTGTCCTCACTGTGGGAGACATTGTGCTCTGTAGCGCCTCCTGGTGGTGGAGCAAGAGATGACTCCCACTCAGCCATAGACAGACCAGAGAGCTGCCGCTGGACAGGGACACCCATTGCACATCACACTGCACCTCTACACAGAGTGAGAAAAACATGCTGAAAATGACCACTTTATCAGTTGGATTCATGCACTGAAACATCATAAATGTACAGTAGAAAAGATGGATGGTGCTTTGAAACATGGCATACAGAAAGAGTACACAGTGTGAAATGGAAAAATTAAGTACAGTAAGAGATAACGTACAGTCATTATCACAGAATAAGCCCAGGCAAGGTTCACCCTGTCCCTGAAGGGCTTTATTTTGCGGTAATGACTACAATATCCTGCTTATTACACGACTACTTGCCAAATAAATAAATGGATAAGAAATGTTGATTGGAGTTTATATTATTTATTTTATTATCTCACTTGTGGTTTACCTGTCACAGCCTGTTACAGACTGTGCGGTTTCGGACAGAATATAGGACAAATCCTGTAAGATCATTACAAATCACACTGTATGAATGGGGATCTAATAAACTTCGGTACGACATGCATGTAGACTGTACAACCCAAGTTTGCATAGAAGAATAAAACGTCATCAGCATAAATGGTAAACAAATAGAGCAAGATGAAATCGCACTTTGGCAATTGTGCGAAAGAGAATTTAGATGCGGTCATGGCTAGGGAAAAGAGACCTACTTGGCATGCCAATCTTGCAGGGGCGTAGCCAGAACTTTTTTCCAGGGCTGGCCAATTAAGACCCATTGATTTTATTGGGGTGGCAAAAAAGAAATAAAATCCAGCTTCAAATCTAGAGAAAATCCCTTAAAATGCAAATTGCAATTGTGTGTAATAGGCTACCTTAAAACGGATGTGGGATGAAACACATAAAACGGATTTCATGTGACTGCGTCTCAAAAACAGCACTGGTTAAATCATTGTTCTTATGGATCATCATCGTTCTTAATTATGTAATGATTGCATTTTTGCCTGACATAAATTCTCTTCCATATCCATAGACAAGGAGCTCCTTGAGTAGCCTATAACCAATTAAACAGCTTATATTTGTTGGTAAACATCGCAAAATAATGTTTAAGTGGTTTTAAGTTTTAGCGCCATGTGCCGTCGATCAATACGGCATTTCCTGCTGCATTTTTATTGGTCAGTTAAGCAATAAATTATTATTAGTCAGTAGACGTAGGTCGTAGCAGCAAACACACGGAGATGAATCATGACCATGCTAAATTTCTGATACTGTCAGAAAACGATTGCAGGCTATCTTTGGTCGCAAGACGGTGACAACGGCCGTCTTTGAACCTCTCTCACTGTATGACGTACGATTACCGTTTAGGAACCACAACCACAGAAATCGCCACAATTGATCATGTTTTGTCTGGGACAGCTCAAAATCGTACAATGTGTACCAGGCATTTAAGGGATAGTTCATCAAAAAAATAAACATTCTGTCAACAACATTAAATCACCAAACAAACTGTTAAAGGTAATAAAAGATTATATTTTGCATAGAATGTAAGTCAGTGGGCTCCAATGTTGTTTAGTTCCCAACGTTCCAAAATATTTTCCATTTCCTCTAATTTAAAGGTCTTGCATTTCATCGTCCTTGTTGACATTGTCAATGTTTTCTTGCTTTAGCTGAGAGTTTCTGCCTTCCTAGCCATCTAAAATCAAAACGTTTATGCTCACCATAAAACTAGTATTGAGAAAAAACCCCGCTACTTTAGGCATTTCAATTTACAAGATGGCACTAATTAGCCATTCAAAAAGACCACAGACAGAGTGATAATAAACATGAAAGTAGCACCGCTATAATGCTATGGACAGTTTAACAGTCAGTATCGAAAATATTTTTGCCACTCAATGCAGCGTAACTGATATGATGCTTCTAATATTGGCCTAATCAGACTAATGGCAAGTAAAAAAAAAAAAAAAATTATATAAAGTTCTACACAATATGGTAATTGTGTGTAAAACAGGTGAGGTAGAGATTGACATACCGATTGGCGCTCCATCTCTGTTGTAGCACGTCACATGAATCCTGCCCTCTGGAATGGAAGAGTTCACCTTGACTTTCTTAGGAGTGGAGGTGGCAGGGTTGTCACCTGGCAACAGCATTCCACCCCTCCCCCTCCGGAGATCCAGAGCTCGGCCAATGGCATGTTCCGAAAAGGAATTCCACTGTTCCAGAACTTTAGTTAGATGATTTTTTGGCAGTTGCTCTAGAGCCTTTACCTGAGGGCTTGCCTGCCTTTCTTTAGGTGATGGGGCAGTTCCTTGTGTTGCTTCTTGCCCAGAGCAGACTTGAGCTTCTGCTTCAGTGTCTGACTCTACAATGAAGGGTGAAAGAGTACGCAGGAGCTCAGCAGTGTCACATGAGGTAAGTGAATGGTTAAGATCTACAGGTGCGTTTGGGATCTCAATGCTGTCGTTCAGGTCCATCTCTGACATGGCATGAACAATGACATCTCCGTTACAGTTCAAATCGAGAAAGGTGCTGCCAGATTCCACTAGCTGACATCCCTGCTGAGACTCATCTATCTTTTCCGGACCAGAACCGCCCACAAGCCGCTCACAGAACCCAGATGATGACCCACTGCCTAGGGAAATCACCTCAAAACTGGAGTCCTGAAGCTGGGCCTGCTCTGAACACCGGCAGGCCTGCGTGTGAGGTTCAGGATCTGGTACAGAGTCACAGGACTTTACTGGAGCTTCTTTACGATCTGAGTTTTGGCCTGCCTTGGAAGAATTTTGCCCAGTGAAGAGCCGCCCAAATGGGCCACATTGAGCGGAAACCATAGCAGAAGGGAAGGTCCTGTGGACCTCCAGGGACTCCACCAAAGCAAAGGTCTGTAGCAGAGCGGCGGTAGAGTTGGCAGAGTCAGACTCAGACTCTTGAGTGGTCACATCCACAATCTTCTCGCAAAGCTCTGTAGTGTCATCCAACCTGAGATAAACAGAGAGAACGATGTCAAATCATGGAAATCTGCACTAGTCAGTCTTCTTTTATGATCTATAGAGCTTATTCAGAGCAGCACCATGACAGGTATGAAAGCGAGGCGGTAAGCCGGGATAAACTTGCTGTGTTTTCAATGGCATCCGCTATAAAAAGCTCCTAGATCACTTATAATTTTCCACAGCTCATGCTGTCTGGAACTTTTTGTCTACTGATATTTCTTGGAAAGATATTTTTGCAGTGTTTCATCAGGAGAACAATCCAAAAAACACCTTAAAATAAAAAGTACAACCCACTGAAGAGAAGTGTGTGTCCCTCACAGACTCGCTTTCATTCCCGTTAAAAATCGAAGATGGCGCTGCTTATTCATATAAGGTCTAAAGAGTGCTTATTTTTTTACATGAAAAGACGATACATATTTTTAGGTTTAAGTGGGAATCACACAAAGATGGATCATATTTCATCACAAATTCAAAATATAATGAATTCTTCAAAAAGAAGCTTATTTTTGAAAGCCAATTAGGAAAATTAGAAAAAAATATTTTTTCGACAAAGTGAAATTTTCATAATTAAGACAATAATGGTACACTACATATAATAGAAAAATAACATTTCAATTTATTTTTATTTAAATCGCTAAAATATTACAAGCAACAAATGCTGCCATGACAATCTGCAAAAAAAATTTTATAATAATAATGGGTTTAATTTCCTTTAGTACTTTCACTAAAAGTACTTTGTTTCCAGGTACAATATGACCTGGACATGTTTCTGACAGGCTTTGAGAAATTCATTATTAATCTGTGCACATCAACAAAAACTAAATGGGAGGATTTAGTGGAGTATCTAACCCATTCAGTGGTGTGGAGGTGACAGCAGGTGAGGTCATGGTTGATGGGACATTGCTCTCCTTCTCCAGTTTAGCGATGGTCCCAGTAAAGATTCTCTTTCCTTTCCCAAGACCCGCTCTCCTACGCATGGCTAGATGCACCATTACACTGTCACCAGCAAGCACTGTGTTTGGATCTGCAGATATCATCCAGAGACAAAACACTGGTTAACATATAATGAAAACAGCAATAATTTATTCAACATTGAAGTTACAGCAAAAATCTCTCATTCAAATCAGTACAGGAAAAAAAACAAGTATAATAATAATAAATAAATAAAAATTAAAGGGGTGATAGACTGGATTATTTTATTATTTTATAATGTTTCCTGGGGTGCCCATATAATGTTAGTATGATTTTAACATCATAAAAAGTCATAATTTATAAATAAAAGGCATTTTTCCAAGCTTGATTTTAGCCTCTGATTTGAACGCTCGGTTTTAAGGGCCGTGTCTGCTGTGGGATTCAGTGTAACCGGCCACTGCTGTGATTGGCTGCATATGAATATTGGCTGCATATGCATATGAAATAGCTAGCATAGCTAGCAACATGTGGAACTCTCTCTAAAAGTTACTACGTTTTATTACAGCTATCAAGATTAAAGGTCCCATGACATGAAATTATCACTTTCTGAGGGTTTTTAACATTATTATGAGTTCCCCTAGCCTGTATATGTCCTGTCCCACAGTGGCTAGAAATTTAAATCGGTGTAAACCGAGCTTTGGCTATCTTTCTCTGCCTTTGAGAAAATGAAAGCTCAGACGGGCTGATCTTGAATCTCCTCCGTATGACGTCATACGGAGGAAAGGTAACCTCCCCTTTCTCTGCCCAGAGAATTTGGCTCGCCCATGAGAAAATGAGCTAGGAAGTACGAACACCCGAGCGCGATTTGAGTTTTTCCTAGAGAGATATCATGGCTTGCAAACGAGTGAAGCATGTCAGTTGATCAGTGTTCGGATGTACAAATGAACACAAAAGTATTTTTTAGTTCCTTCATCCGAGCCTCTGAAGAAACAATGGGTTAATTTTATTTTCTCTGGAAATACACCGACACAACTTCCCAAAGTTTTGTATGGTCCAAACATTTCACCGACGACTGTTTCCTCAACTTAGGCCGATACAGAGCTGGCCTCGATGAACGTCTGAAAATAAATCGATCGAGCTACCAAGCAACAATTTCTGATGTGTAGCCTAATTGTTCAAGTTCAGACAGGTAATCTTTTTCTCAAAATCGTTCAATATTGTTTATGCATCAGGAAGTCAAGCCAATGACTAAAATATCAACTTCACATCGTTTCCTTTAGTAGGATGAAAATAATCTTATTTAAATTGTGAACAAATTATATACAGAAAGCGATCAAAGAACAATCTTTCCACACAGCGCGAGTTTATCTGGACAACTCGTTATGAAATCAATGACGCACGTTAACACTGCACAACGTAGCTCTTACTGTATGTACATCATCGTGTTTGCATTGGTTAAAGTATTAGAGAGAGTGCAGAAACTGCGTTGCAATGATAAGATCTTCATTCTCGCGATCAACAGACTGTCATCTGCTCAATGCTCATCACGGCAACATTTTATGTGATGGGAATAGATCTAAATACTTTAAAAACTTCTCACGATTAGTTAATCTTGATAGCTGTAATAGTAAAAACGTATAATAGCTGTAGTAAAAGTATTCGAGAGAGTTTCACATGTAATACATAGCTATTTCATATGCAAGCATGTCAGCCAATCACAGCAGTGGGCGGTTACACTGAATCCCACAGCAGACACGCCCCTTCAAACAGAGTGCTAAAATCAGGCTAGGAAAAATGCCTTTTATTTCTAAATTATGACTATTTTTGATCTAAAAAAAAACATACTAACATTATAAGGGCAACCCAGGAAACATTATAAAATAATAAAATAACCCCATGTCATGGGACCTTTAAGGAATCGAGAAAAGTATTGATCATAATGATCTATTCCCATCACATGAAAGGTTGCAGTGAAGAGTATTGAGCAGATGACAGTCTGTTGATCGCGTATGAAATTACGCCTCTGGCTTTCACCAAATAACAATGAAAACACGATGGAAATACAGTAAGAGCTTCATTGTACTGTACGTTGATTTTGTGATGATTGATTTCAACTAGTTTTGGCAAGATAAACTCGCAATGTTTGATTGACAGCTTGGGCAATTGGAAAGGAAGCGTTCTTTGATCACTTTCTTTATATAATTTAATCACAGTTTAAATAGGATTATTTTCATCCTACTAAGAGAAACGACGTGAAGTCGATTGTTTAGTCAATGTTTAATGCATAAACAGTATTGAACGATATTTTGAGAGATAATCTGTCTGAACTTGAATAATTACAACAGAAATCACTGATCACAGATCAGGCATAAGAATAAACATGACTACTTACATGTTTGTGGCGTTGCTGGGCTGGCAGATCCATACTGTAAAAGTCTGTTTGCAAAGCCTGCACCGAAATTTACCAAATAATCCACATTGAAATACACCGAATACAAACAAATAATGCACTGCTGAGACATTCACATTGTTGGGAAAAAAAACCCCACTATCCTAGCATTAAGATAGTTTGGAAGGTAATGGTATTGATCCTGTATCGATCTTTTCTCGTTCTCATGTCACTGTTCACCAACACTCCAGTGGGCGGGGCCAAAGCTGAAGTGTGACGTCACAAGTCTCCACTTTTTAGATCCTGTCGTTTGCTGGCATTGGTTTCAATAAAAGAATGAATTCTCATTTGAATTCTCATTCTATGACCCCTTTGAAGGACAGCAATATAATTATAGCAATATAATAATAAAGTGTGTATTGAGCAATAACAGTAAGAACTCACTACATGTCTCCTGTTGGTCGTCCTTAGTTGAGAGCATGTCAGTAGTGAGGGTTAGAACATCACTAGGGGGACAGTTAGCACTAGCAGAACATCTACAAGGGTCTGAGAAGTAGGCAGACAGGATGAGAGGGGATTTTAGAACAGCATCACAAGCTAAAGTGTGTGTCCTTACAGCACATGTCTCTTTACCTGCGTGGCTGTCAGAGGGGATGGATGCGTCTCGTGGATGAGATGCAGGCTGGTCGCTTCGTTCCGCAGCACGAACTCGCTCATAAAATGCTGGTATCAGGTATGTGACGTTCTACACAGGTGCAAAGGCTTGCTGTTAGCATGTAAACTAGCTTCGACACATCGCTTACAGGTTGGATCAGCTTTGACATTTAAATTTGCATATTTGTGTTATTTCCTCTGAGGGCATTGCATTTATAAAATGCATAAGAGTGGAGGTGAAGAGCGGAGACATCATCAAAGTAATCCATGTGACATCAGTGGGTTAGTTAGAATGTTTTGAAGCATCGAAAATACATTTTGGTCCAAAAATAACAAAAACTACGACTTTATTCAGCATTGTATTCTCTTCCGGTTCTGTTGTCGAGCCACGTTCAGTGACGCTGCTGACGTGTTATCTGGTGCGCCCGAGCTTCGTTTACAGTCTGAGGGAGACGCACGCTGTAAACAAAACAATCTTCGCAAACATGTCTAAGAATTTTAACACAGAAGAAGACTTGCATTTTTTTGCCCAGCCATATTTATTTGATCCCGAATACACGGACCCACCAGATACACGTCAGCAGCGTCTTACGTCAGCAGCGGATTGACAACAGAACCGGAAGACAATACAATGCTGAATAAAGTCGTAGTTTTTGTTATTTTTGGACCAAAATGTATTTTCGATGCTTCAAAACATTCTAACTAACCCACTGGTGTCACATGGACTACTTTGATGATGTCTTAATTTCCTTTCTGGACAAGGACAGTATATCGTACATACATTTTCAATGGAGGGACAGAAAGCTCTCGGACTAAATCTAAAATATGTTAAACTGTGTTCCGAAGATGAACGGAGGTCTTACGGGCTTGGAACGACATGAGGGTGAGTCATTAATGACATAATTTTCATTTTTGGGTGAACTAACCCTTTAAAAGGGTTCTACAGACCCTAAAAAGTCAATCCCAGCAAAACGGGGCAAATAAATGGGAATGTTTCATAGCATCTCTACCTTTCCAAGCAGCTGACTGCTGTTGTATCCGAGCAGCAGAGAGCTGAAGGGGTTGTTGAGACTGTGAATGGTGCCGTTGGGCAGGAGCGTCAGGAGACAGCTACTGGGAGCAAACACACACACTGACCCAGAGTACAGCACACCGGCGCTGGGGGACAGGACACCACCCGTACACGATTTACCACCTGCAGGACAAGAGTGCACTGTGTTGAACATACTGAAAATCAATAGCAATTTGAAATGTAAATTGAAATATATTCGATATAATTACATTTATCAGCAACTTTCTTAATTAGATTGGACAAACACCAACAAGAAACAATAGTATAGATTTTCTTTATGTCAGACCAAATATTGGAAATGCACTATAACTAGCAACCTTGGGTTATAAATAAATCCCCACATATAAATAAATCTTGACTGTGTTTGTGACTTCTGTCTGTTGAAGCAGCACAATAAAACTAACAGTTCTAAAACTCTGCATGCACTGCAGTGAACGAGAGGACGGACCTGAAGGAGTTCGGTTGGGCCATCGAGAGCTCAGGAGTGAACCATCAGAAGGTTCTGGATGTGCTGATCCATTCATCTGGAGTGGTGATCTTCCACAGGACACAGCGGCCTGCAGGCGGACACATGCTGGAACCACCAAACCAGACCTGGCTTTCACAAACAATCTCTGCATACGCAACACCTGAGATAAAGAGCAAAGAAACAAAGGTGCACAATAGGATTGTTATTGAAAATGAAACTAAATCAAAATGATTAAAAACACTTGTATATATTAATTATTTATATAAATATTAGATGCAAAAAAAACTAAACGCAAATTCAAAATGTTGCCTTGGCTACAATTACTAAAAAACAGACAAAAACTAAATAGATAAATAAAACCTAAATAAAATAAAAATGACAAAAGCACAATATTAGTAAAAATTAAAAAAGCCAATTCAAAATATTAATAAAAACTATATTAGTATATAAATAATACAAATATAACACTGTTGCACAATGCTGGTTTGACAGAACCAATCATGAAGTTCTGATTCAGTCTGATATTTTTGTTGTCACTAGCATGATTAAATGAAATTGCAAAAATGACAACCGTTTCCCAAGAGTTTTTATTTGATTTTTTATGATCATGACCTTGGGAGTTGACCTGCAGTGGAAGGGAATCTGCAAAGATGGCATAAGAGACATGATTGAAAGTCCAGTCATCTCCTCAGCAGCGTGGTAACCATAGAGATGGGCAAAAGTGGCATCACAACTGAGGACTCCACCCTGAGGAAACAGTAGGAGGAGCTGGAACTTTTCTGGTCCACTGAGCAGAAGTTTTACAACACAATTTTCTTCAATGGCACACTACACTACCCCACCCCAAAAGCTTTGGGTCAGTGAGAATTTTTTGATAGAAATCTCTTAAGATGACAAAAGGCTGCATTTATTTGATTGAAAAAAAAATACAATTAAAATAGTAATATTGAGAAATATTATTACAATTTTAAAAAAGTTGTCCATATTAATACATTTTAAAATGTAATATATCTCTGTGATGGCAAAGCTGAATTTTCAGCATCATTATTTCCAGCTTTTAATGTCACATGATCCTTCAGAAATCATTAGAATATGCTAATTTGCTGCTCAACAAACATTTCTTATTAACAATGTTGAAAACCGTCGTGCTACATCAGAAATAGAATGGGGCATCAGTTTACTGTTGACAGTTTACCGCATCCAGTGTTGACAGCATTACTGATTATAATGGGTTCTATTAGCTTTAATCACGTCGCTTACTTCTGGTCTAGACACGGTGTAAGTCACTTTTGATCAATTTATGCATCCTTGCTGAATTCAAGTGATAATTTATTTAAATATCTTACTGACCCCAAAACTTTTGAACAGTAGTGTATGCTTCAGTTAAACTCTTTTGAAAATAACACTAATGATCAACATCATGCTTACAAATGCTTAACTTAATAAGTAAACCTTTCAGTTCACAAGGGAATGAATCTCACATTTTGAGTGAAAGTCACGTGTGCCGTGATTCTCTCCACTCGCTCCAGCAGGAGCTCTAAGATCTGCTGCTGCTCCGATATCTGAAGCCACACAGACACAGGAAACTCAGCTCCTGTCAAACTCACTGCAGTCACCTGTGGAGAGAATGAGCCAGAGCCGTGCGTGACGCTCACATCCAGCACATGAAAGCACGGATCAGAAGACAAAAGACACTTTTCCACCGTCGGGGTAAAACTGATAATAACAGAGCTTTTTGGAATTAAATAAATTATCAGTCGTTGCCTTGCTAACGCGAGAGTTTACAGACGATATGTGATGTAAATGGTAAATGGATGTAAAAATGATTTTAATTTAATAATTAATTTTTGTTTACGCTGCTCAAATAGGACACTGTCAGCTACAGAGAAACTGGTAGCCAGGCAGCAGGCAAGTGAACAATCCTGAATGGTGACGACAGTACACGCATTCTTCCAGCACTGCAAAATCCAGGCTGAGAACGGTTTGTAAACAGGCTGTACCATACCAGGCTCAAGTGGAAATATAACTGGAACCGTTCGGCTCGACGACGGAAAAGCGGCTAAAGACAAAACGTACAGCATAGAAGAAATTATAAATTCATGACTCAAATAAGTTGAGCGACAGCTAAGTGAATTGTTGTTTAATTAAATGCAGTGTTTTATACCACTTTTGCAGAAATAGCAACTAGGTTCCCATCAGAATCCAGAGTCTCCTCCTTCAGGACTTCCACTAGCGTCTGATTGGCTCTTAGTAGAGAGGTCAGCTTCCGGCCAATCAAATCACTGTATGCACAATCAAACAACTTACAAGCATGCTCATTTGCATCCAAAACCTTGCAAAAAAGAGAGAGGGAAAGAAATCATTGAAATCCTTCATAATTTAGTAATTTTATGAATAATAGTGCAGCTAAAAGACCAGGCAAAGTATCCCCATTACCAATATAATGTAGTGTAGGCCTTTGTTTAATCAGAAAAAGGGCTTTGACGAGCACAACCGTCTGATACCTGTGATGTGGTGCAGTTAATGGACAGGACAGCTTTATTAGGGTTGATGGTGAGAGCTGTGCCTCTCTTCTCTGGAGCGATACAGATGAGCTGTCTGAGCAGAGAGTTCTCCAACACAGGAGACCCTTGATTTGATGACGGAGGCACAGGTTGGAAGCAATGCAGATCAGAAATGTGAAGATTCCTCATCGCCACTGATGAACCAACATGCGAATCACCTTTTGGAAAAGAAACAAGTCAGGTAAAAATGTATATTCTTCCATTATTTACTCAACTTTCCAAACCCGTTTAAATTTCTTCTTCAGTGGAACTGGAACACAAAGGGAGATGTTCGGCAGAATGACTGCTTCAGTTACCGGTCACTTTAATTACATACACAACCATTATAAAGTTGGGGTTAGTACTTTTTCTTTTAAAGAACTTAAAACTTTTATTCAACAAGGATGCATTAATTTGTGAGAGTTAAAAAAGCATTAAAAAAGTGAGAGTAATGACATTTATAATGTTACAAAAAATGTCTATTTCCAAAAATGCTATTTTTATGAACTCTCTATTCATCATTTACAATAATAAATGTTTCTTGAGCACCAAATCAGCATACTAGAATGATTTCTGAAGGATCATGTCATATTGAAGACTGGAGTAATGATGCTGCAAATTCAGCTTTGCCATCACAGGAATACATTACAAATATATAAAAAAGAAAATAGCCATTTTAAATTGCAATAAAATTTCACATTATTACTATTTTTACTCTATTTTATATCAAATAAATGCAGCCTGGGTGAGTATGGAAGCTTGTTTCTGCCACAGAATAAAAAAATAAAACCGGGTAATTGCGACATTTTATCTCACTATTCTGACTTTTTTCCTCACAATTGCTAGTTCATATCTCACAATTCTGACTTTTTCCTCACAATTGTCAGTTTATATTTCACAATTCTGAGAAAAAGTCCGTCTTTTTTCCTAAGAATTGGACCTTATAACTTTCAATTGTGACTTTTTTCCTCGCAATTGCAAGCTTACATGTCGCAATTCTGAATTGATCAGAATTGTGAGATAAAAAGTCACAATTATCTTTTAAATAGTTTTTTTTACATGGCAGAAACAAGCTTCAATTTAAGAAACTTCTTTAAAAACAAAGAAAATCTTACCAATCCAAACTTTTGACCAGTAGTGTATTTTCTCAACACAGTGAGAGTGAATGTTGACTAAGGCTGTCATTCTGACTAACATCTTTTTCTGTTCCACTGAAAAAAGGCTTACAGTTTTGGAACAATATGAGGGTGAACAAAAGTAAGCCAATCATCAGAGCAAACTATTTTAGAAGAGAATCTCTTTAGCAACCACCCTGAAACTCATATCTGAATAATCATATTTTCTAAAACATTTTGCAACAACTCTTAAAAGATCTTCCTTGTGGTAAACACTTTATTGTCAACAACAACTACTGCTGTATACTGTATTGTTGTGATTTTGATAAAGTTTATTGTTATTATTTTATATATTTATATTATTTTATAAGTCCACACATTGTGGCACATGTGTGGAAGCTGCGTGGCCCACCTGATGCGTCCATGCGGGTGAGAGTGGAGTTGCGTGCGGAGGGAAAGGACTGGTTCATGCAGAAGGAGCCACTCTTCATCATACTGCTGATACTGCCATCTTCATCATCATCAGCAGCAACACAAACATTGTCGCCCCTCGGGCTGCTCCTCCGGCCGTGTATCAACATTCCCGATGAGCTTCAAATGAAAGTGCATAGTCAAAAATTGTTTTCGAGATATGTTTAATCACATATATCGCATAATAAACTAATACATCATGATTGTAGCTAGCGCGACTCACCCACCGCACTGCTGTGCTTTCAGTTTACAGCCTGCAGCCTTGGAGACAGAGAGAGGGAGGTTTCCTTCTTTCCTTTTAGACGACTTAATTGAATAATAAATAACAAAACAAACACTTGCTTAGAAATAAAGTTCTCAATGGCCGTAAACAGTGTAGTTTCGAAGTGTTTGTTTGAGTGAAGTATATCGCGGCCTAGAATGTTTGGCGCGTATGAAATCGAATTAAGGTGACGGAAGACGAGGGAGAGCAAATGAAAAAAGCGGATTTTGAAACGGACAGGGAGTCTAGCCAATAGTAAACATAAGTGGGAGGAGCTTGTTGCATTGAGGGAGGGACGTGGTTTCTATGGAGACCAAACGGTAATGTTTATGTTGTTCTGCTGCCTCTGACCTAGTTTTTCCTCCGTTCAGTTATGCCTTAGTTTTTCTACCCTTTAAATTAGTTATGGTTCGTTTTTTTAACTGTTGCCCATACTTTTCATGTTATTTAGATTCCAGTCAACGTTTTGTAGCAATGTTCTTGATGAAATATAGCAAAATAACTTCAAATTTGGTTACAAAAACACTTCATTACTTCAAACATTCATTATATTATATTTAATATTATTATATATATTAAACACAACCTGGAGATGCACATTTTTATTTTGATGTTAAAAGCACTCTGCACAACTCATTCATTAACAGCTTCCTCATTTTCATGTTTGTAAACATTTCGACTCATTTTGTCACTCCTTGGACATTCTAGTTGCTTACAGTAGTTGTGCAGTTTATCTCTCTCCGGCTTCAAGTATGTACTGCTTAGCAGTTCAAAACTTACCAAAAACAGCAGCAAGCATTTAAGTCTTTAACCAGTGTTTATCAACTTTATCACTGGAAAAGCATTTAAACAAACTAAGTTTCTTATATAATGTTCATTTAAAATGGAGAAATAAGAAATTATTGAACAGATTAGACATGACACGAATTGTAGGGATTACAGAGGGAACATACACAAACAGTCTAACAACGATGGATGGAGCAACTTTTTGGAGAACATTTAAACATCATAACAGCCCACTTTGCTGTTGATGGCTTTTTAATCCAACACATTTTTACTAATGCACACATCTTACACAGTTCAACTCCACATGCTCTGCCATACATCACAGTTCTTTGCCATTACATTCTCAGTGCGATATGCAGTGTGTTTTCCTTACTTTTTTTTTAATAGACAGTAAGCAGGGCCTGTCATTCGCCCCTTTTCAGAATGAATATCCAGAGGTCAAGGGTCAAGACCAGGTTCACTTTGGCACATATGGGTGATGGACAGCTGTATGCAAAACCCCATGGATGAGGGAGTCCAGGAGCTTCTGTGCTTCACAGGCAGGTGTCTCTCCACAGAGATTTTAATGCAAGGTTGAGCTCAGGTTTAGGTCGAACAGAAGCATGCATAACACTTTAGCATTTCTACTGTAATGGTAACAATGGCTCTCTGCAGAAGAAGTTGACATAGACACACAATGGTGGGAAGAATCACACACTGTGGACACCCGCCGACACAATAGGGCTGGCACGGGATCCTGAGTCTCAAGGCTTACAGGTTCACAGAAAGGCCTAGTGATGGTAGTCCTTCTTACTGTGGGGACGGTTACCCAGGACTTTGTCGATGTCCGAGGCCACTTGAGTGGTGATCTTTGGAAGAACCTGTCAGTGAGAATGTGATATAACTATTAAAAATGCAGGCAACAGAGTCAAAAGTTCAACGTCATTATTTACTCAAAATGAAAATTCTTTCATCATTCATTATACTGTACTTTTTTTAACAATACTTTTTTTTACAAACTTAAAATTAAAATTATTTTTGTTTTGTTTATCAAACTGTTTAAATTAAAATAAAATTAAAATACACTGTAAAATTAAACAAAACTTAATATAAAGATTCAAATGTTTTTCATAAAAATGTATTATTACTATTGTTAAACAAAAATAAAACAATATAAAAATAATTATTATTTTATTGTGTTTTTTTTAATAATTAAAAGAATTCCAATAAAATAAAATTAATTGAAAACAATGAATACAAACATAAAAGATTTATAATTATTATTACACAAAAATGAAACTATTAGTAACGTAATAATTTACTCAAAATTCTTTCATCATTCACACCCTCATGTGAAAATCAAAAATTCATATATTTTCTTACCACCCCCAAACTTTTGAACGTTAGTGCAGGTCACACTACTTTACACCAACATACGCTCTTTCAGTAAACTATAAACTACCAATCCCAATTACTTTGACTTACTGTGTAAACACGCCCAATCATTTTCACTCCTTTCTTTAACTTGTTTAAGCTGTAAATGGTAAATAAAGCATTGGAGAGAAACCTGTGAGAGATGATTTTTTTTTATTTTTTTATTTTAAGTAAATGAGAGTAAAAGATTATGGATTCCTTTTATTTTTATGTCAACTTCATTAAAAGTGGTCAAGCTGGTTTTTAGAATACTAGAAATAGTTTGATTAAAGGACCTTTCACACTGAGCGAAACGCGATAAAGCGAAGCGAATCGGCGATGAACAGTACTTTCACACCAAGCGCGAAACGATTGATTGCCTTCGACAAATTAACTCCTGAACGATAGGTGGCGCTGACCGAAAATGCATTTAACACTTGCACACTAGGCTTTAACACATTTGAACCTTTGGCTTTAAAGGGACAGTTCACCCAAAAATGAAAAGTCTGTCATCATTTACTCACCCTCAAGTTGTTCTTTCTTCTGCTGAACACAAAAGAAGCTATTTTGAAGAACGTCGGTAAACAAAAAGTTGATGGGCGGCATTGACTTCCATAGTATTTTTTTTCCCATACTATGGAAGTCAACAGAGCCCATCAATGGTTTGGTTTCCCATATTCTTCAAAATATCTTCTTTAGTGTTGTGAACTATCCCTTTAACCTCGTCCGCTGCACAACATACAACAGTAAATTAAGATAAATAAAGTTTGGTACTACACCAGAAACACAAACAATCTATAATGCTTACGACTTTAATAAGATATTAAACTCACCATCGATTCCTTGCCACAGAACTTCTTTTTGTCTGTTTTTGTAGTCGCTGTGACATTTATCAAAAAGTTCTCTGTTCTCAGACATGAATGATTACGACCCTGTCCCAAATGGAAGCCTAAGCCCTTGCGATCTTCCTCCGAGTCCACACTTCCACAAGTCTACAAGACCGCAAGTGCACATGAAGTGTGACATTTGAGACAGGACCAACATCCATTCTCTTCTCTCCTCCGGTATACTTCTCTTTGGTTTTTACACTGGTTTTCAAAACTGCTTTCTGTGCTATGGTGCCACTAATCTCGCCTTTTTGTGTGGCTCCAAGCACGTGATCTTAAACTAAAATCTAATCGGTTGGCCCATTTCATAGCGGGGCGACGGGGAGAAAAATTGACACACTGAACGAAGAAAGAAAGCCCCACAGGGATCTACTGTTTCGATTCAAGAGCGTCATTGCATCGCTTAATCACGCTCAGTGTGAAAGACCCTTAAGGTAGTCTCAATCTGTGGTTCTCACCCTTTTTGACTTCATTGCCCATTGTCCACATCAAAAACTTGTCTAGTTGTTTCTGATTTACTGATTAAGAATTTAAAAAAGAAATATGTATTAGGTCACTATTTCTACCTAATTAAATTTTAAGATTAAGATTTTTTTTTTAAAATACATGACCTTTTCAGGTCTGAGGGGGTGAATTAAAATTTTCATATCTTGATTTTTAATTGTTTAATGATTAATTAATTAATACTTGTTTTGTTTTCATTTTAAATCATTTTAAATCATATTGAGGCCCCCTTGGAAGTTTGCTGAGGCCCCCTGATTGAAAACCACTGGTCTAAATAGTTGTCCAACAATTTCGCCAAGCTAGAAACCACGTAAAACCATCTTTTGTCTGAGGCTTTAGTTGGATCTTCCATCAGTGTGTGAAAGTTTGCCATAGCAAATAAAAGTAGCATCAAGCAATATCCTGTTTTTGATGTTTTAAATGTAAATGAACCATGTGAGATTCAGAAGTAAGGTGTTAAAGGAACACTTCGACTTTTTGGGACTTTAGCTTATTCAACGTTTCCCCCAGAGTTAGATAAGTCCATACATACCTTTTTCATCTCCGTACGTGTTGTAAGTCTGTCTGACGCACTCACCGCTAGCTTAGCTTAGCACAAAGACTGGATGTAAATGGCTACAGCTAGCACACTAATCCCAATAAGTGACAAAATAACGCCAACATTTTCCTATTTACATGTTGTGATTTGTATAGTCACAGAGTGTACAAATAACAAAGTAATATGAGACACAGCCACTTTTTAAACGTTTAAATACTGGGAACTATTTTCTCAAAGGCGAAGCACTGCTACTTGGGTGGAGTGATAACCGCAGGACTTGAGACGCGCTCTCTTCTCCTCACCACGGCGCTTCTCGGGTGCTGCGGTTGTCACTCCGCCCAAGTAGCAGTGCTTCGTGGCATTGACTATACAAATCACAACATGTAAATAGGAAAATGTTGGCGTTATTTTGTCACGTATTGGGATTAGAGTGCTAGCTGTAGCCATTTACAGTAGTCTTTGTGCTAAGCTAGGCTAGCGGTGGGTGCGTCAAACAGACTTACAGCACGCACGGAGATGAAAAAGGTATGTATGGACTTATCTAACTCTGGGGGATACAGTGAATAAGCTAAAGTCCCAAAAAGTCGAAGTATTCCTTTAAGAGATAAGAGCAGAGAGATGTAAGGCCACCGGAGCTTATGATTTCACAGTGTGACAGTGTATTTGAGATGTTTTGATAAATCATAAATCTCTTGCCTGTATCGCCCCCAGGTTTTCAGTGAGCTGTGCAGGGTTGGAGGTCCCCAGGAGAACCGAACTCACTCCTTCATTACGGAGGCACCAGGCTATAGAGGAACACGGAGAATAGATGTATGAGGGATCTGTGGTTTGGTCATACAGTATATGTATGAAAGTTTCAAGCCAGTGAATAGTTGGAATCTCAATTGAGCTGGTGGGATTTTGATCGGGTGCTGCAGCCAAAGGTTTGTCATACAGGACTTTTTAACAGTACTTTTTTAACAAACTTTTTTTTTTTTTTTTTTTTTTTTTTTTTTACTATTTAAATTAAAACATTAATAAAAATACACAATAAAATTAAATTTAAAACAATTAATACAAACAATATATTTTTTTAGAAAATATTTATTAGTATTACTCAATAAAAAATAGAACAAAATGAAAATAATGACTTTTTTTAACATTTCATCACCATTTTTTGGCCTGTTTTGAATTTTAAACCAATTAAAGAATTAGAATTAAGAATTTTACCATCCAAAGCTATACACTTCTATTAAAACTGTAAGAAAGGCTTCCAAATGGACCAAAGCATGCCAAGATCGGGGTTTTTTTAGGTATGTAATTTTAGTAGTATACGGCCATGTACTGTAAAGTGTCATGAGTGCCAACCACATTTGAATACGGGATTGAATCCCCTAAATTGTTCTTCCGTGTGTGAGTGGGTACGGAACATGTCTCACACCTGAAATTGCGATGATTGACAGTTCTGGCGTCTCGAGTGTTTGGTATCCGCCATTTTTGACAAAAGTAATATTACAGAGGCCAAAGACTCATTATGTTCTGCAATTTTAACTAAACCACCATATAGAGATGCATATAGGCCATATCCACTTAAGCGTTTTTTGGTTTGGTTCATAAAGCGATCAAGTTTATGGGGATTAAATAAATTGAGTTCCATTTAATTTGTTCAAAAACGGGTAAATACGTATAAGCCACAACAACAACAACAAAAAAGTATTCAGAAACAACCCAAAGACTTGGTGATTTTAAAGCCATGTGGGTTATGTGCATAAAAGAAAATTCAGCTTTTTACTCATGTCTGTACTGCGTGTGACAGAACAGTCTGAGTCACTCTGGCATTGATAATATGTGGCACATTGTGACAGTTGAAGTGAAAATGAGTGAAGTTCTTTTGACCTACCGATGGCAAGTTGTGTCAGGGTACAGCTGAGCCTCTCAGCAATGTGGGTCAATTCCTTAAGCTTCGCCTGCTGCTTTCTGCCATCCTCACTCAGAATCTTCTCCTTCAGCCACTGATACGGCTGCACGGAGAGAGAGAAAGTGAGACAACCACAGCAAACCTGCCCTGACAAACCTGCCACCCTCATCGCTGGATAGCCTACTAACTGAAGGTGTAACTTATTAACTATAGACCTCATGTAGCCCCGCCCCTTTTCAGCGCTGTGCTTTTTGATTTCTGTCTTCTAGTTTGTATTTCCACAGCATGAAGGTAAGATCTTACGGATTTATTAATGAACCGCTCGTTTTAAAATCTTCCCGGTCTACTGACATTTGTTATGACATCCACTTCAAACATTACAATGCTCATGATAACTTTCGTTAACTCTACAAAAAGTCAATCCACTTCATCAGCAACAGTGATGCCATAGAAATATACAGAGCTACTGCAAAAACGGAAGTTCAAAGACAAAATTCTAAAGATGGCTGCACACTTGTTTCTCTGCCGCATAAGGTCTATATGAGCTCCTAAATCACTTCATCCAGTGACAGACTGTCCTGTTCAACTCTTGTTTTGTTCTTCAGTTGTTTTGGAATATATCTGTTTTACACAGAAATCTGGCACTGATTCAGTTGGATATGGATCAGTTTACTCAACAGATATCCATCCTTATGTCTTGAGGAAATGATGTCTGCCATGACACAAGATTAAAGTACCTTCAAAGAGGCTCTGGAAGATTCTGGGATGCCATTTTCATATTTTCCTGTGATGATGCCACAGGCCAGGGGAGACCAGGACACTACTCCAACACCTGCGGTACAAGACATATTTGAATAAAATTAAGGCCATTTTAATGATGGGTGTTTATGTGTGCGTATTTATGTACAATATGTGTTTGTTTTTACCAATCTTATGGTAAAGCTCTGGCAGTTGCATCTCCACTTTATCCCTCTGAAATAAATGATACTCGGCCTGTTCACACACAGGTGGAATCAGATTAAACTGCCTCGCTACAGAATACGCCTCCTACATGGAGAGAAAGACATGACAAAAAATAAAAGACAATGATATTATTACTGTTAAAAGGGACATATTATGCCCTATTAAAAGGAACCTTTTAAGTCCCAATTTTGATTTTGGGTATACTAGAATAGGTTTTCATGCTTGAATGTTCAAAAAACAATTTTTTTTTTCTTTTTTTTTTTTTTTACATATTTTACATTGTTGCAGCACTTCTCCTCTCAGTCTGTCAGTAATGCTTTTAGTTCCGGTCTCTATGAAGGCCCCCCTTCCGAAAAGCGCAATGTGCGAGTGTGTTCAGCGAAATGAGTGTGTTCAGCGAAATGTCACGTCCCTTACCATAACCACGTTTCAACACACTTCAAATGCAACTCAACCAGGCCTCGCCAACTCACCCCCTTTTTTGAAAATGCCTTTAGCGGGAATTATTTAAATGAGGAATTTTGTGAAGTGTAGCTACGTTCCCGGAAAAAACTGAAGACTACATTTGAGGCATTTCACAGAGAGTATAGAAACAGTGCTTACTGTTACCTCCGTGAAGATGGCACCCCATAAAACAAAACAAAAAGAATCCCAAAACTATGCTATTTGTTTGTGCTGATTTGTTCTTCAAAAACGAAGATATGGTGTTTGAGATATTGAACATTACTTTTTTTATTGTGGGACGTCACTCTTATTAAATATTCCAAAAAAGTCCCCCACTTAATACACCCAAACAGTGCCCACACTGTCATAGAAAATCAAAAAATAAACAGAGCAACAAAACAACCAAACATTCTTGATGACAGACTTAATATTTATAAAATATGACAATATAAAATAATTTCATAATCAGGATTGACTTAAAGCTGCAGTCCGTAACTTTTTTATGAGTGAGTACATCATGAAACAAACTGTGTTTTTGTCTTATCAATCACTACTGTACACCTATAATCAGTGTTGGGGAAAGTTACTTTTAAAAGTAATGCATTACAATATTACGTTACTCCCCCAAAAAAAGTAACTAATTGCGTTACTTAGTAACTTTTTATGAAAAGTAATGCATTAGATTACTTTTGCGTTACTTTTTCTCATCTGGGCTTGCTTGTTTTTTTTTTTATAACAGCAAAAAAAATGCTATTTTTGCCAAATGTTAAGGCCCTTTCACATCAAAAGTGAAATGAATAAGCCTCAGGCTGAAGGAAATGCATATTTACTACTGTACAGAGGGCGCCGCTCAAACAAACCTTTCAGCTGCTGCTGTTCTGGATTAAAAAAACAATAGGATACAGGAGAAGGAAGTTCAACACTCTTATTTCTAAATCTAATCTAAAGTCATTTTTGCTTATTATGGCTGAATTAGATCAAGGTCAGCAGCAGAAGGTCGGCACCACGGTGGAGTATCCCAGTACCTGTGTGACTCTTCATAACATAAACCGAGAGAAGTAGCTCCGGCTACAATGTTCTTCCGCAAGTCGCATGCAGTTCTGTTTATTACCGCTGTAGAGCGCCAAAAGTAACGGACTGCAGCTTTATATATCAAAAGGAAAGAGTGCACAGAAGTTTGTCCTCTCCACTCACCATGATCTCCATAGCTGACCAGCGTGATGTGCCCCAGTACATGGACATACCGTGGTTAATGACATGCGTCATGGCTCTCACTATCTCTGAAACACACATGTATAGACAAAAATATCAGCCAAGCTTTTGAAATAGTTTGCTCTAGATCCAGAGAAATCATTTGTGTCTGCTCACCGTTAGATGGCGCTATCTACATCCTCTCCTTGTGCAGAGTAACTGGGTTTATTTTTTCATAAAGTAATTTAAAACTATGGGAATTCCCAGGATGCATAATTGCCCTTATAATTTAATAATTGATTGCAGGTCCAGTTGTACATGTGTATTTGAATTCTTTTTTGTAAAAGGATACTTTGAATTGTTACACAAATGCCCAGAACATGACAAAGGATATAATGGTAGTACATACATAGGAACTAAAAAGGACAACACAAGTTTTTTATTAAAATTATTCTGCAGCATAATAGATAAAATCTATCATGTTTATATTAAGGGGACTGTTATGGCAGAATTATTCCCATCTCTTCCAAACCAATGAAATGCTGCTATTGCTGATTTGCTGATTGAAGCGAGCAGGTGAGGAGAATGGACGGGGAGAAACGGATGGACTTTGACCCCAAAGGTCAAAGTACAGGCCGGTTTTAGAGCGAGTAAGAGAGCATGCCCAAACCCTAAAGTTCAGGTTATTATTATGATTTCCTGACTAGAGAGAACTGAGCTTTAGTCTATCTATGGGCAGAAGAACAGACCTTGAGATAGGGTATAAAAAACTGCGCTCCCCCTCCACGCTCTGTTCACTTTTGTGTCGCAGACTGTACATTGACTACCTCTGTGGAACAACTGAACCTTTCTTGCAAGAAATAAATCATTTTTAATTATCAGACTGTCTCTTACGCTTTGATGATTGTTTAATAGAAATTTGCTATTACAGGGACCCTGAATTGCAAAATACAATTTATTCTACTCTTAATAAATCAGATAATATTAAAGGGATAGTTCACCTAAAAATGGAAATTCTGTCATCATTTACTCCCCCTCAAGTTGTTCCAAACCTGAATGAATTTCTTTCTTATGCTTATAAAATTATGACAGAATTTAAATTTTTGGGTGAACTATCCCTTTAAATTGGCTTATTTAGCCATGGGAGGCTTATTTTGGGATGTGTTGTCAGAACAGTTTGCTTGTTTTTCCTGTGAGATCTGGCAAAACTGACAGAGTTCCACAAAGGATAAACGCTAATAATGCAGTAGAGCTGAAGCCATTTCACAGACTGATTTAACAGGATTAAACACGAGAAGCATTTCAGCAGTAAACTGACACAACGGCTCTATATCTCACTAAGCAAGTTGTATTGTACAAAGTACCATAACTTTAAACTTCTCTGTATCATATATTCAAACATAGCAGCACAACTGTATTCATTCCAAAGGGTTCGAGACATCCTAATGAAAGAAAAATATTTTTCTATCATTTACACATTCTTTGTTGTAAGATAATTCATTCTTAATACATTCATTCATTTATTAAATCATACATTATATCAGAAACTTTCACAGCTGATGCTGTACAGTCCTAAAGTATAGCATAGCATCCCTAAAATTCAGAAAAGTCCAGTGCAAATTGCTTTCAGCGCTACTTTCTTTGCTGTGTATGCATTATTGTCTGATTTATTCCACTGGACTGGGTCCTAAAATATGCAAATAGACCACCATCAGAGAATCACAAATGGGCATCAATGCCTTGTTAATTCAACTTCACCCTAAAGAAAATGCTCACATCTCAAAGTACTTTTATATCCATTTCACTCGATGAGTTATAATAAGGATAATGGTCCGCATGATGGTCTTTAAGAGGAGATGGGGCATATTGAACTTTTAACACACTAAGGAAGGCTCAGTGTCAGGACATTTGTGTTTTTATCGTCTGGAGTTTAATAAAGAGGAATTTAACTATCCATCTGTGTGCAGAGCATCATTCCTTTTTTATAGCTTACACTCAAAAAAACCTAAATGGGCCAAGCCATAAATGGCAAAATATTTAGTGGTCTTATAATGGTCTTTATCTATTTTAATCACAAATCACTGTAGATAAAGTATCGCACGGAATAGCCTTGCCCTTTGTCTCCTTTAAATGTTTAAGCCATGGGTAAACTTGCAGACAGCTTTTTACAGAAAGAAGAGTCAGTGTTGTTCCAATGTTGATGTCTCCCAGTTCGTATAATTTAACGTGAGAGCAAAAAATTCACTATACGGTTCAAATCTGGACTCTGCAGGTCAAAACATGAGCCTGATGGACTTGTTCTCAAGCCACTTCTTGGCTGTCTTGGCAGGAGCATTGTTTTGTTGAAAAATAACATCTGATCATTCCTCTTTAGATAAGAACTTTTCATTTGTGGGAAGCAAGCCATTTTGTAATATTCTCCTGTATCCAAAGCATTAAATGACTTTCACGGAGAAGCAGCTCACCAATACCAGCAGCTAAAATGACTCCCCACACAACGACACTCTTCGTCAATGCTTCACTGTGGTAGAGATGCATTTATTGTAATATTTCTCAACAGATTTTCGAAGACACCGCTCTAGAGTATCACCATGCAACTCGTGTTTCATTGTGATTCATCACTCCTCGCAACTCTGCTGAACCCCTCTGAATCAAACTTCCCATATTCTGCCAAAAATTCATTCTGGTTTTTTTAATGTTTTTCTGAGGCTTCCTGTGTGCAGCCTGAGATCATTAGTTTTTGATGTTCATATATAACATAAGATTTTTGTAGGCCTACGTTTTGATAAATGCTGAAAGGCACAATATGCACAATTTGGAAGCGTAAAATTTGTTACAAATCCTTTTCATTTATATTATAAATAAATTGGAATACATTTACTATTGATTGAATGATGACATAATCTTATTAATTTATTTTTAAGTTAATTATGTTAAAGTTTTAAAATTATGTAAATTTTTCCAAATGAGTTGAATTCCACACAAGAAATCACACAGGATAATGAAAATGTTAATCATATCAAATGAATGTGAAATAGGTAAATGGGCTAAATAAATGTGATGGTTTTTAATTAATCTTCAATATTCTAAATATAACAAAAATATGTAGACACATCAAGTTGTTCATACATAAAATGCTTAAGTTTCACTACTTTGATAATGTACATTTCAGTGTCTATGCAAACATATGAAAATGTACGGTGCTTTTCAAAAGTTTGGGGTCAGGTAAGAAATGAATGGGGTCACTGCGGAAATTAATACTATAGATTTTTATAACGTTACAAAAAAATTATATTTCAAATTAATGCTGTTCTTAAAACTTTCAATCAAAGAATCCTGAAACATGTGCCACGGTTTCCTCAAAAATATTAAGCAGCACAACTGTTTTCAACATTGATAATAATCAAGAATGTTTTTTGAGCATCAAATCAGTAATGATTTTATGTAATGATGCTGAAAATTCAGCTTCGACGTCACAGGAATAAATTACATTTTAAAATATATTAAAATAGAAAATAGTTATTTAAATTGTGATAATATTTCACATTATTAAGTTTTACTGTATTTTACATTATTTGATCAAAAAAATGCAGTTCAACTTTAACATGAACAGTAGGCTAGTGTATGGGCGCTACAACCACACTTTATGGGCAAATACCAATACCTACCATTTTTAATGAGATCATGTAATGATAAATAAAAATGAAAAATCATGTATAATACCCACAGTCTTTGTTTCGTCACATAGGCCTACTTTCACACAATATCAGTGTGTACATTTGACAGAGCGAAAAAAGAAGCGTGAAGTCCGCACACTGAAAATAGCTGCTCCAAATTCATTTATTAATAGCACAACGTTTCGACCCTCAGGTCTTCATCAGGCATCAGTATTTTTGATTACATTTGACAGAGCGTCACTCTGCAGCTAACAGGAACACCATCTGCCCTGAAATCCTCAAGGCACTATCCTGTTCTACGCCATTACCAGCGGAGCCCTTTTACCGCTGTTACTCTTCAGCGGTGCTTTATAGCTTTTGGACAAGAACAGCGAGTACAAGATTTACTCAAAAACCTCCGTCATTGAGTTAATAAAGCTGCTTTATTGCTTCATCTTTCAGATTTTCATATGCAAAGAGCTGCTTTTCTCTGTCTCATCAGTGTTTTGACTCAAGGCGCTTCGCTGTGGCCATTACTCTGCGTCCACTGAGTCTGCGTTTCATCTTCACATGCCACCAGTGAATGATGTCTGTGGGGAGCTCTTTGTCTGACAGTGGTGTTGCAGGGATGCCCTAGTCTCATCAAATGCCACGCCTGAGGACCAACATTTTGTTCACTGACTGTCTGAAGTTCTGCAGAAAAATTGGAACACACTTGCTAAATCTGGCAGGCTCTAATCTGATTGGCTGGCATTAATCAGTCCACCTAGTTTATGTAAGATATAGGAGATTGGTGCCGCTAACAGCTTGCACCGTCTTTTTGCTGCTGGTAGAGAAATCCATTTTCTTTATTTTACTTTTTAACAGTTTGTGTGTCTTCTGGTGCTATGCAACATTTAAGTGATTCTTCTTCTCAGTGGTCAAAGACAATAGGCCGATCAGCTGAATAGTGGGTTGCGCCACCTAGTGTGCAGGCGTGAATTAGCCAAAGTTTCGCGTTTGGTGTGAAAGTACTGTTAGCTTCGCTTTATCGACACTGGTCGCTCAACGCTTTTCTTGTCTAAGTGGGCAGGTCATAGTCCAATGTGGACCAATCCTGTAAGACCAGGGCAGCTAAATGCATGTGTGAGAAACATAAGAACTTATGTTCTGGAAAATAAGGCAAGAGAAGGTGAAAAAAGATTAAAAAAAACACAAAAAAACAGGAGAAGCCAAATTTACCTCAGTAGCCTACATGATGAAAATGAAAGCCCACACCCACTCGCTCATTACGAACTCCGTACAAGTGAAAAGAAATGTCTGTGGGTGAGAATGGAGGAGAAAAAGCGAAGTGAACGTCAGCTAAGCACAACAATACATCTGCTCAAGAAAAGAGAGAGCAAGACAAAAACAAGGAAACCAGAGGCACATGCCAGTGAGAACAAAAATGAATG